TCATATGTGCAAAACCTGCGACGGCGGCCGGACGTAAAAAGTATCTGGTACTTGGATGTCTCGGCCCACGCGGGACGGAACTAATTGACTGCCCAGGCGTGCAGGCCCAGTAGACGGCGATGGCGCTAAGCCCGTTCGGTCGTCGCCACCCCTGAGCCGCGAAAAACTCAGCAAACTCGAAGCGCAGACACCAAAGCAGACGCCATAACAGACCACAGGTCAAAGCCGGCGCCAGAGGAACCCCAACCTCCAAAACCTGGGACCGTCTTGATCTTGGCCTGCCCAATAGTCCTCCATCAACCAGGCCCCGACTCGGCAACCTGCAGCACTCGTTCCTTTCCTGTCAGACATAGGGGTCTTTGGCGAGCGATCACGATTGAGGTCGGTGCATCACAGCCCTAGCCGGAACCAGCATCCCCAGCGCCCGCCCCCAAAGGACCGCAACCAGGGTCTCTCGTTCACGCACCACAGACCAGACGTCTCATGCTCATGGCGCTGACTGTGCCTTGGGTACTTTCTGTGCATCGCATTTTTGCGCCCACGTCTCTCTGCCTCCCCGACTTGCATTATTATTAGCAGCAGTCATCCGCCCGCGAGGAACGGACGAAACCTAGCCCGGGAAAAGGGAGCTGCTTCCCCACGTCGTCATCAGCCCGTGTCTCAGTCACTTTTGCTGCCAAAACATTCGACCTTGACTTCATCGCCAAACTCGCCCCCTTCCATCGACGCCTCCCAAGACCTTCCCCGACGACCTTCCCTGGGTGGGTTGTCTACAGCCATCGACCATGGCCATGGCTACGCGGGGGGTCAGCGAGCCGCCGCCTCGTCCAGACGTTGGCGATACCCTGGTAGTTATTCGTACGTTGCCCTTCCCTTCGCTCCATCGTGCGGCCCTTTGCGATGCAAACCGCACCACCCCTTATTGATTGCCATTTCCGCCCGCCTGTCCCATCGTTGATGATGGTGGTGGACCAAAGCCGCAAAGGCCGACAAGCTCACACGCACTGCTTCGCAAACAGATGATTTTATAGCCCGAAGCTCCGATGAGCTGAGCCTGTCGAAAGGCGACAGGGTCGAACTCATTGAGCGCGATGACGAGTTTGGTGATGGATGGTTTCTGGGCCGTAACCTCGCCAATGACAATACTGGCCTCTTCCCTGAAGGTTAGCAGCACCCTGCCCTCTTCTTGACTCTGGTCTGTATCCCATGTTAATCTTGCGGCAGTATACACTCGTCCAGCACCAAGGAACGTACCTGGCTTGGCCCCCTCTCAACCGCCGGCTTCCGCCCCGCACGCCGACAGTGATACCAACGTGCTCGGTGTTGCCAATGCTCCTACAAATTCGACTCCGGTCCCAGAGCCTGCCCCGAGCCAGCCGCCTGCGAGCGTGGTGGAGTCGTCTACAACATCGTTGCCCCTAAACATCAAGTCCGAAACCTCGGCCTCTCCGAGCATAACCACGTCCAGCTCGCCTGCTCCGGAAACGCGTCGTACTCCGAACCAGAACCAGGACAGCCAGGTCCTAAACGATACACTCAATGTCATCAATGAACACATTACGCATCTGAGAGGCTCGCCAAGTAACGGAGGTCTACGACTCCCGGTTGGAGTGAACGATTCTGGTAGCGAGTACAGCATGCCGCTGGAACACAGAATGTCATACATTCAGGGCGAGGAGACAGATGAAGAGGAGGACCGCGAGCACAGTCGTTCCGAGGTGGAGTCGTGGACTGCAGACCAAGTTGCGGAGTATCTCTTCACCGTCGGTGTTGAAAAACATCATTGCGAAGTATTCAGAGACCAAGAAATCACGGGTGAGGTGCTCTTGGGAATGGACCAGAACTCGCTCTTCGTCAAGCTTTTTGACTTGGGTTCAGTTGGAAGACGGCTGAAGACTTGGCACAAGATTAAATCCCTTCAAGACGAGGCCAACAGCAACCAGACTAGGCGAACCACGCGCACATGGGGCAGCGAAATGGACTCAGACGATGGCAGGGGAGCGAGAAGCCGGACCAACACCGCCACAACCTCCATCTCAAATCGTATTTCGGCGCAACGATTGTCTTCTGGCCAGACGGCCAAGGCCAGTCCCACGACGTTAAAGTCACCACTTTCGGTACACAGCTCTCACGACAGCCCAACCCGGCCTACCCACACCAAACGACCCTCGGCAGCCTCTATCAGAGAACTTCAGTCACGCCGCCATTCTTCAACAGACTATCGGGCTCCGGCTCCACCAATGGCAGGAGTTGTTCCAGGAACGACACCTCCTGCATTGTCACCCAATGGAACGATGCTGAGTCCTGTAGCGCACAAGAAGCAAGCGTCCTTTGACCGAAATTGGACGCTCGGAAACGCATTTGGACAAACGGCTGTGCGACCCCTTTCGTCGGCTGGAGTGCATGACTCGCAAACCGGCTCAGACCCAGATCTTCAAGATTCGGCGGTGGATTTGGATCGGGGATACTTTTCTGGTACGGAAACAGATGGAAGACGGCGCAATGTCTTGAAGAAGCGAGATGGAACTACGCATTCAAGGCAATCGAGCTATGCCGAGGAGCAGCGGGTTCGCAGTGCCACAGCTCTGTCTCGACACTCCAGGTTTGGCAGTGTCGATTCCTTTAGAGACCCTACTCTGTCACCAGCTGCGCAGAAATACTACGGAGTGCAGTCGACGGCGCATAGGAGAACAGCGTCGACAAATACAACGGACTCTGCTCGTCCCATCCCCCCAGCCAAAGATAGCCCACCTGCTCCAATCGTCACCCGAATAGATACGGGATTGAACCCTACCCGGTCGCCAGCGTCGCCAACCAACATGACGGGCAAGCCGGGATTCGGGGCCGACTGGCTGTCCGCGGTTGTCAACAAGCCCATGAGCAAAGGCCGCCCAGGCATGCGCGCTATTTCAGACAAACTTACCAATAGATCAAAGGATATGACAACGCCCGAACCCGCGCTCGACTCTCCCGGGCGCGCTACATCAAGCACGGCATCCGGGGAGCCCAGCCTTGACATTGAATCCCCTGCCACCGGCAAGAGTTTCAACGCTACACCGGCAAACAAGAGCAAGGGCAGAAAGAACAAGAAGGATACCAGCGCGTACACGCGAGGTCTCCTCAAAATTCCACCCTTGCAGGCCAAGGAAGGCGCCGACTATTATGGATGGATGAAGAAGAAGAGCTCCAACCTGATGACGACGTGGAAGCCGAGGCTATTTGTTCTCAAGGGCCGTCGTCTCGCGTATTACTACTCGGAGGAGGATGACCAGGAGAAGGGTCTCATTGATATCTCTTTCCACCGTGTCCTGCCCGCAGACAACGAGCGGTTGACAGGATTGCACGCCACCATCACGGGTGCAGTTGGCGGCCCCAGCCATCCAGCTGTGGGCAACGACTTTGATAAGGGAAACGAGTCAGTATTCATCTTCAAGCTCATGCCGCCTCGAGCTGGCCTCTCGAGGGCAGTCAACTTCACCAAGCCCACAGTGCACTATTTTGCCGTGCCCAACATCCACGCAGGCCGTCTCTGGATGGCCGCGTTGATGAAGGCCACCATTGACAGAGACGACACGCAACCCATCACAACAACGTACCAGCAAAAGACGATTTCGCTCACCAAAGCCAAGCAAATGCGGCACCGGCCCCCAGCCCTAATGAACCTGGAAGAAGCCGCCGAGGACGAGTCCAAAGCCGAAGGCGCCAAACCCTCCAACAGCCTGGGTATCTTTGGTGAATCCGACAGCGGCGTATCGGGAATGGATAAACTCGCTGGCGTCGCTGTCAATGCCGAAGCCAACGCACCAACCGAGGTCGAAGGTCCGCCTCAGAGCGCATAGGCTGTGCTCTGTCGCAAGAGGAAGTAAAGCATTCTCCCATACTAGATCTTGATAAAGCTACGACGGAATGGAAACGTCATCATGTACTTGTCTTTTATGCCTCTTATTTCATCTTTTTCGATTCTGGCCCTTGTCATTTTTTTATCCCCCCTTTAACTTTTATATCTACTAGATGCTATGAGCGTTATGGAATGTCACGGTAAAGAATTAATGATGGGGCTCGAAGGCGTATGGTATATAGCCAATTTACGTGGTGCAATTTGACTGCGGCGAGCTTATAATTGCTTCATCTTGAGGTCCGTTTGATTCATTCAATGTTCAGTGTGAATACCATGTGGTGTAGCTGCTTGTCTGGATGGGGGTGTAAACCCAGTCCAACTTGGAACTATCAGCCTGCAAAACCCTTGTGTCGAGGTCCCTGGGTGCACTGGCTGGTGTACAAGGGCATGCTGCGGCCAGAAAGCAATTTGCTACATGTATCAAGGAGCAGTCACGGCCTCCCTTGTACGAGCAAAGGTGCGGCGGGTGCGGTGCGTGGTCTACATGTTAGTTAGTTACTCTAAGAAGCTGCTCTACATTGGGATATTGCAAACATTGAACCTCGACCGTACCACATGCCCATGGACTGTCAGTGGAATGAGTCAGAATGTAATGGCGTACGCCGTTCAATGCTACATGTGGCAAAAAGAGCAGTCAGATAATGTCAGGCTAGGGGAACTAGTTTTGAACGTGATTATACTCCGTACCACTTTCCCCGTACTCACAAACATGAATACCTAGGAACATACCCACGAACATGTGCATGCGCAACCAACGTCCAGCATGATAAACATGCCGTACTTTAGCCATCACAACCGTCATCAACTTTCAGACTACCGCGTACCCAGAAGTCAAGGCAGCCCTACTCAGCATACAACAACACCAAGCACGACGGGACCAGCACGTACTGTAAATACTATATTCAACTAAGCCGCCACGCTACGAGGGCACGTACAAACGCGCCCACAAGGAAAATTACACAATTCATGGTCTCGTGTAAACAGCCATCGTGACCCTTTATTTCCCAACACCATGCTTTGATTCCCAACGCCGTAAACAAGCCGCAGGCGGCACTTGTTGGCTTCAACAAAAAAAATAGAAAAAAATATTGCAAATAGAATTCTACGCCTCCCTGATCTTCTGGTTCATGCCTATGAGAAGCTGGCGGATAGACGACATCAGATGCTGCTCCACGCCTTCGAGGTTGAGGCTCGATGCTGCTGCCGACTCGCCTTCACCGTTTGGGGGAACGATGCTTGCGTCAGCGAGGCCGAGGACGCGGTCGATGGCGGAAAGCGCCACTACCTCGGCACGGGCTTCTCCCAATCGATTCTTGATGGCCCTGACGGACACCTCTTTGAACCCGTTCAACGAGTTGAGCACCTTGGGGTCGATGATGGGCGGCCTTTCCGTCGACGTGGACCCTCCTGGCGCCGGATTCTTCTTGTTGAAGCCATCGATGACTTGATGAATGCCCTTGATGCAGATGGCCTCCATCTTGTCGTTTTCTGTCGCTTCCCTCTTCAGACCAAGACACCGATTCAAGGCAGACATGACGATTGCCTCAGCCTTGGGATTGCGTGCCTTCTGAAGGTTCTCAACAAGCCCATTTTTGAGTCCGACCACAGCCGCTAGGAGTCGAGGATCAATGACTGGTCTTGGAGGCCCAGCGGTAGGCGGCGTTGCCACTGGGCGACTACCTGGTGTGGGCGTCTGTTGAGGAGCCGCCGGGCCGGGTGCGGCTTTGCCGCCAATTGCCGCCGCGGCAGCAGCTGGTGTAATGTGTGGAGGTAATTGTGCCGGCGCGGGTGCTACCGCACCGGGCTGTGCTCGACCTGGTTCGGTCTTGACTGGGGCGCTCGACGGCGGCGGAGGCGGTCTTGACGCATAAGGAGAACTATATGCTCCTGGCTGAGCACCGCCAGGCTGTGCCCTCGCCGGTGCGGGCGGAGGCCCATACCCGGGCAACTGTGTTGGAGCAACTGCTTGTGCAGCCACTGGTGCTGGCAGTGTATTGGGCTGCCCGGGTTGGGCTGGTGCGGCTGGGTATGGTTGCATAGGGCGAGGTGCCTGGCCAGGCTGGGCTGGATATCCTGGGACCTGGTACCCTGGGGGCCCTTGGCCCGGAGGATAGCCAGTGGCAGCTCCCGGAGGCATATGCTGAGCGGCGTTGTAAGGATAGGAATAAGGTCCATATCCCTGAGCTGCCAGGGTTCTATCGGGGGATGAGGCCTTGCGCTTCTTTCCTGCGTCCAGCTCAACGCCCGGGACCCGTGACCACAGGTTGGTTGTTTCATCCTTCTTGAACGCTTCGTTGCCAATAAGGTTATGCCTGACGCTGCTCTCCCAGCCCTTGGTCTCCGTATGAAAGTAGAACCAGGGATATCTCTGACATATCCTCTTGTAAATCTGCTTCAAGGTCAAGCCATCCGGACCGGCGGCTGTTAGAGTTTCATCAATAAGAACACCGTAATTCTTGTTCGGCTTCTGGAGCTGTTCATCCGTGTAGTCCTCAATCTTGAGTTCAAGGGGAGGCGACTTGGGTCGAGCCTTCTTCTCCTTCTTCTCCTTTGCTCTTCTCTCCGCATCTGACCCTTCGCCACCCTCTTCCTTGGGTTTACGCGGTTTGTACTTGCGTTTCTCTGGACGTTCGCTACCATCTTCTGGCAAGGGGTGCTTCCTTGGTCGACCGACCTTGCGCTTGATTGGTGGCTCGATTGGAGGGGCTTGCGGAAGAGTCTTCTTTGCCATCTCTTGCTGCTGCTTCTTAAGTAGGCGTTGCTCTCGTTTCGACATGATGCCATTCTTGGGCGGTCTTCCAGGCCCTCGCTTCTTGGGTATCTGTAGTAGTGCGGGATCGAGCTCCGCGGTTGACTCATTCTTCAGTTCAGAGTCGTCTCCTGGCTCGACGCCGTCACCCTCTTCGCCATCCTCGTTTTCCCCACCTTCTTCGCCCTCGCCCTCGCCCTCGCCCTCATCTTCGCCTTCTTCACCCTCAGATATTGCTGGAGGGCTAATCTCGACATCAGACAGTTCATCGCTAGTATCCTGAACCTCCCCGTTACCGTGTGATTGCTCAAAGTCAAAGCTCATTTCCTTTCCGCTATGAGAGTGCCGTTTCTTGGGCACTGGCTCCTCCTCCAAATACTCTTCTGCGCCAGTTCGTCCCTTCTCAACGCCATTGATGATGAACCGAAAGTCAACGTCCTTGATCTGCAGCCGATCACCACATTTTAACACAACCTTGTCGCTCTTGTAGTGTACGTCTTCGCAAAAGAAGCCATTCTTGTGTAGAGGATGTGCCTCAAAAACACCCTCTTGCTGATTGTAAGCAATCTTGAGATGTTCCCTAGAAATAGCTTTGGTCTTGCCGGCAATGTTTGGGCCGGGGGAGTGAATTCCAATAAACGGAACGTGGTAAGGCGATGGCCGAAGGGAGCTTAGATCGACAGCCGCCGCACCGGGGGTATGTGACACATATTGGCGATTTGAGATGATGTTCTCCTGCGATTCCTCATTTTCCGGCTGTGAGGACCCGTTGGTGCTTGTTTTCCGTCGCTTGGGCGGCCGCCCACTACCCTCACTATCAGACTCAGGACCCAGCATTCCACCTTCCTCACTGACATAGGATTTGCTGAACTTGCTTCGGTCGTGGGGAATGGGTGCAGGCGGCGGCAGACCTTTGCTTGCATTTTCCTCTACCCTGCGCTGGTGTTCGTCTGCCCGCTTCTCGTCACGTCGTGCTTGTTCCAAAGCTCGCTGGTCACGACCAATAATCACGGCATAGGTTGTCATCTGAAAGACACTGTCTGCGAATTCGATGCGGGCAAAGGACTCGAGGCCCTTTTCTGTGTTGGCCTGGCGCAAAGCACTCACTGCCCCAGTGCCGTTCATTTCGGAATCGAGAAGATTCGGAAGTGTGACCTGGGATGGCGTAACTGTGGGTGGCGGAGACAAGGCATTCTGGGCTCCTGACATGGAAGCAAGAGCCATCATCATGTAGGTATGCTGGTCGAGGTTCGCCATCTGGGCGGGAGTAAAGGGTGTAGAGGGAGGAAACTGTTCGCTAGTAGCAACGCTGGCCACGTTTGGAGGGTGAAGTGGAGGAGGAGGCTGCTGCTCCTGCTGCGGTTGAGGTTGAGGTTGAAGTTCAGGTTGAGTTTGCGGCTCTTGCTGCTGCGAAGACTCTGCTTGGGTTTGAGTCTGACCAGACATTTCAGTGTCCTCATCGGCATCCTTTGGAGCGTCTGGCACAGGCCGGTCGAAGGTAATGTTGCTAGCGTTTTTTATCGGGGTTTCCAAGGCAGGCCTCGGGGTGGTTTGTGGTGCAGTGGCGCTGGTCGCGTCACCATTGCGCTTCGGGGTTGAAGGCGACACGGGGTCCTTGGCCGGCTGCGCAGAATCGTCTGTGGTGGTAGCAGCAGCAGCAGCAGCAGTAGCTGCCTCCTGAGAAGTGGCCTCGGCGGTCGCGGGGATGGCAGAAGTAGCAGTCGTCGTGGTTTCGCCGAGGGCATCTGGCGCAGTCACGGTCGCAACTGCGGACAGGGCAGCGGAAGCGTCCGTGTCCAGCGGTTGCTCGGGGCCATTGCGGCCGTCGCTAGACGAAGTCATCGCTGCTCGACTGACAGCTCCTTCGCCTCGTTGAGAGGACCGGCGGTTGCGGTTGTGCAGAGCTGTATGCGATGCCGGGGCTGGCCGCGATGATGTGGTGTTGTTGATTGACGCCTCGGGCAAAAATAATCAACTGGAGGCGGTTGGCAGCGTGACCCATTGAACTCTCCGCAGCGGGAGTCTCTCCGTAGCAGTGGCATGTTTGGCAGCGTGGCAGGAGCAGCCTGTCTTCCTTCCTGTCCACCCAATGGGCGGGAAGGCGTGCTGTGATTGGGTGCTTGTTTGTCTCCTCACCAAGTCTGCTGGCCGCGACCCACCTCTTTGTTGCCTAGTGTTCTGAACTTGCTGTCTTGCTCCTGCCTGGTCGTTCGCGATTGAATTGCAGCATTGAAGGAAGGAGCCCCGAATCTGTCCGTTGTTCGTCTCTGCTTTGCTTCACTATCCGGCATCAGGTATCAAGCGCACGTGCCGGACAATAAAGCCACGGTACCAGGTATTGTCAAGTACACACAAGGTGCTCTGAACAAACCCGTTTGTGTCGTCGTCGGTTCCGTCAAGCCGATGTCAAAAGGCACCAACCACCAGGGGATACAAAGATATCTATGCCGCATGGTGGCGGCGGCTACTCCCAGACCAGGGTTGACCATCTTCCCCAGAAAAAAAAAGGGCAATTCATGCCAAACGCTTTGTAAACACAAAAGATGCTGAAACACCGTCCAGTGGCCAAAGGCGTCGTCGACCTCGTCAATGACCCAAAAGGGACCTTCAGCAAGCCCATCTCGGATCCTGATTCGCCGATCTACCCGTCCGCGCCGCCGAGCATCAAGACCTCCCAGCCAATCCATTCTGCTTCCTCGTCAATGTCCTTTACTCAAGCGCTTACCGTGACAATCGTGGTATAACCCCAACGGCCAACATGACTCCTGCCAAGCCGTATCACTAAGCGCCTTGTGAGCCGGGGAGATCCATCTCATCTGAAAGAATACACGTAGATAAAGCGCTCATGCCCTCCCACCCTGCAAGATTTCATGAAGTGTTCAGCAAAGCATATTTTTTTCTTCCCTTTGTCATTTTCTTGTGCGTGTGTGATTTATACGGCCCTTAATATCACGGGCACGCCTTCTCTTCTTCGTCTTCTTTTCTTTGGCTGTGCCATTTATTGATTTAATCCAGCAACTTATTCCGTGTACATTATCAACAACCCGCCAACATGCTCTGCTTTAAACGCGAGTCGGAAAACAAGCGCCTGCAACGCCAACTCACCAACTCTCAGCATTCCCGCTATGTCCAAATGCTTCTGGCAATGGACGACATACCCTTCCTGCACAACGCCCTCGCCGCCTTCTTCGTCTGGCTCCTCCTGGCCGGCTTCCTGTTCTTCCCGGGAACCTTTACCTCGATCCGAAAATCCGTCGAGAACAACCACTCCAACAGCTTGGAGAACCAGGCCGCCGGCGTGATTGTCAAGTCCGTCAAGAACATTCCATTGCTGGTTATCGCGGCCATTGCGTGCGCAACATCCGTCGGCGGCATGGCCTTCCTCGCTTCGAAGCATTTGGGTAACTATGTCTGGCTGCAGAACAAGCTGGTCATCCCCGGCACTGCCAACTGTTTTGCCGGTCTGGTATCGACCTTGGTGGGCGTCTATTCACAGCAGAAAGGGGTTTGGAGTCCGACGGCAAAGATTACAGCCATTGTGGAGGGTTCTTGCCTAGGCGTTGCACTGGGACTTTTTGTGCTTGTTGAAAGGTTTTTGAGGAGGGTTAGAGAGGAACATGATAAAGAGAGTGAAAAGCTTTGGGTATCTGGCCGGTCGTAATTAGCCAAGGGACATCTTTTCAGAATGGGTGTGATAGGGAAGGCAGGCGAATGGATGGTGGAAGGCGTATCATGTGAAGAGCAAAAAACTATGGCATATAATGTGGCTAGACGCACAGAATCATGAACTGAGCAAAGGAGCTCTCTCCCCCCGAAGCAAACGGCTCCTATTCCTCTTGTTGAGCCATTCTGATCCCTTATAAGCCCAGTGACACAGCATGCCAGCTACAAAGCCCACTGCATCATTCTTAAACGCCAAAATGCCCGCTGTGGTCATCAACATGACGGTCCATCGCTCCATTCGTTCTTCATCGCCCAAGTCTCGATGGATCCTGCCGACACGGCCGGAAAAAGAATCGCTGGCTGCGTTCTCCCATAAATCGGGGGCTCCCTTGTTGAGCGAATGGCCTACCTTGGCCAATTCCAATCCAGCGGCGAGCACCATGATCCCAAGAATACTTTTTGGGTATAATTTCAACAGGTCAATCAGTGTCTCACCAAAGACGAGTCCTAGAACCAGCTTGACAAGCCCCAGGAATATGATGCTCGCGCCGGATCGGGCACCAAATCGATATTGGGCCGCTAGACCGCCCGCGCCATGACAAACGGGCATCGCCCCAAACCAAGTCCCCGTGAAATTCATACACGCCACGCTCATACCGATAGACGTCACTGACGGAACGGGAAGGTCGGGCAATAAATCAGCTGCAAGGGCGGTGACAGCAATGATGGAGTTGAGAGTCGTTAGCGGAAGCTGTCCAATTGCCATCCAGAGGGCTGGGGCGTCGCGGTGTGGACCAATCCAACTTGGCAGGACCAAATGAGGATGCCAGACATGGAATGAGGGCAGTCGGTGATGAGAAGTGAGGACTGCAATTATGGCAAAGACGATGGCCAAGATGAAAAAGGCGAAGGCGTAGGGAAACCTAGGAAGCCTCTGGGTGACAATGAGAACAAGAAATGCGAACAATGCCCAGATTCTGTTGTCCAGAACAGGATGTATCCAGTGTAGTGGTTGCAGAAGCGAGGTCCCGGCACCGATGATGAGAGACAGGCCGGCTCCTAGTTGGATGCCTTTGACAACGGGAATCGGAACAACGGATACGGCCCATCGCAGAAGACCTGTGACGCTCATGACCAGGACGGCCGCTCCCACCCACTGGCCTGCCGCGACTACAACTTCCATGGGCGCATCTTCTCCACTAGATATAGCTGCTGAAGCAATGGCCTGCAATGAGGAGGAATTTTAGCCGTATTCCCGCAAGGTGTAAAATTGTTGATAGGTAGTGGTAACTGTACCTTCATGGGTTGAACTGGTAGAGGGATGCCATACACAACGCCAGTGAGGATATTAAATGCCCCCGAAAACACCAGCGTCGAACCCAAATGCACCGATCCTTGCACTGCCAACGCAATCATGAGTGGCAAGAGAGTGCCGAGATCACCAAGAGACCCTGAGATCTCGGCTAGCGGCGCCCGTCGAAAGGTCGAGACATTGTGAGCGTTCACACGACGCAGATGGGCCAGCCACGAGGCCATTTGGATGGCACGACAGGAGGCTCTCGCGGTTGAATTCAACAAAGTTAAACACAAAAGATGGCACGAAGAGAGAAAAAAGTATCAGTGCGGAAATGCAAAATTCACTACGATTTCTAGAGTATCAAGATGCTGCTTCTGTTGCGTCGTCATTTGCATTCTCCTCACCTTGTGACAGGTCGGCGCAAGAAGTATGGCCGACGTACAGTGTCGTTTGGATGGCACTGTATACTAGCACTGTTGGTGACTTGCCATTTTTCGGCCGAGTGATACATTGTGGTTCGTGAATTCGAGTGGAAGGGATGCCAAACAATTCATCGTGGCCATCGTTTATCATTATAACAAGCCGGAATAAGTGAGCTAGTAATTTATGTAATCACACAGTCGGAGAATGCAAGTCGTCATTTTGGGTTTTTCGACAAGCTGTCGTCAGCCTGTCAAGTTTGGTTGCATCTTAATAAGCACTGGGTGTTGGAATGTAGGGAATTCGATATCGCGATGGAAGGAAGCCTGGGCAGGGGCGCATGATGTCAATGACTAAATACACCGGACTTGACTGTTGCTTGAATTTTGGGTTCTGAATGGAATTAGCAATTCATGCCGGCCGGCAATGGTTGGAACTGCGAGGTTGCGGGTAATTGTGAGGTCATTTCTTGATGCGCCCCAAGGTTGGCAACTACCACCGGGAACTAAAACAGGCAAGAGCAAGGTGCACACACAAGTACCTGGGTACCTCAGACGTGAGGCTGTCGGCCGGGGCGCGAAGCTGATGGCGACATCCAAACGCCGATGGTGTCCGAGTCTTCCACGAGAAGTGCGCAGGGCCAGAGACCAAAACAAATCCAAACAAACCCGATTCATGGACTCGGAGCATGGGCCCGCGGACGAAACGGAGCCCCCCAATTTTCTTCTCTGGCGTTTCTATGGATTCGGCCGTCCCGGGGCCACTCGGTGGAGCTGTGTTAAAAGCCATCGCCAGGTTGTTTTGGCGAATTGGCGTTCTGGTCCGGAGAAGCTCCAGCACAATAATGCAGAACTGCATCCTCCGGAAGCAGCTTGGTCTTCTGGTTCCTCCAGGCCGTCATACCCGTCTCAGCCATTCAGTGTTTGCCGCCGACGCCGTCCACCACATCATCGTCCATATCCAGGTCTCGACGCAGCCCGGCCCTTTTCACGAAACGCACAGTGGGCATGTCAATCCCAGATCAGCCCAAGCCCTTGTCCATCCAGTGTTGTAGCCATGACCTCCACGGGGCTCTGTTTCAGAAGATGGCAGCTGTTGAGCCGATGGTGAGGACTTGGCAGGCGTACTCCGTACTCGATGGAGTATTGCGCAGTCAATTGAGCTTGGCTGGCAGGCTGTAGCCAAGAACGGAGTAATGTCGATATTTTCTGGGGAACAGCCATTGAGGCGTGTCCATGCCCTTTGTTTTAACGCCTCTCTGCTCACGTACCTAGGTAGGTACGTATTGCTATCCCCAGTGTCTCTTGTGGCCAAGCGGGCTGTGAAACTCTAGCCAACCAGGCCATGCTCCGTAATGTTTGTGCATATCTTCATGTTCAAACACAATGCATGGTGCTGCGTAAACGCTGAGACATAGCGGCGCGTCTGTTCCCAACACCCATGGTACCAGTTGACCTATGAGCACAACGCAGCTACCGAGCACCCTGCTAACTTTTGCTCTTGGTTTCTTGGTTTAGCTACAGAATACTACAGATGGCACCCGTGTCGCCTCATCATCATTCCAACTCACCCATGCATTTATTACTCGGAGGGCCGTTGACACACGTAATCATTGCACGGCCGCCTTTCCCCAGAGGCATGGTGATTTGCCACGTACACATGTACAATATGAGACCCCAAAACTTGAAATCCTGCTTCGCCGACTCAATGGCAGCACCACGCCATGCTCGCCGTCTTCTCCGGTCGTGGTGGTGCGCGAGCCGCCACTGTCCCAGAGTGGTTCTATGTACCGTTGACTGTCCTGCAGGGCAGATAATCACGCAGTCCCATGATCCCCCCAGCCAATATTCTCCTTCTGGATATCAAACTGGCCTAGTCCTTACCCGGGGAGCTAGAACAGGAATCGCAGAAAAACACTAGCCAGTGTCAAAACACCCGACGTTGGGTGTGGTTCAAAATTCGCGCAGGCAAATCCCGTCGCCTGCCCCCAGCAGAGCCATGGATCCACCAGATGGGAACCACAAGTTATCGTCGTCTGCAACAGAGCTGTTGTTTGGCCAGCACACTGCCGTGTTCCGAGTTGCCCCATGGAAAGGTACTCACTACTTGGTAGGATGCGGTCGAGGAACTCCAGGGCCATGCAGAACTACCAGGTATCTTGCGGCTGCCCATGAGGCTCTTGTAATAAGTCATTCGCACCGACCTTCAGTCGCCCATGCAAGTCGTGCGGTTCCGGCCCGCTAGAGCGAATTGCGGAATTTGCTGCAGCATTTTTTTCTTCAATGCCTGTGTCGTACCCGTCACGTTTCCTTGCTCTTGTCGAGAACTGGCAGAGCCCGGCTATCTGGAACCTAAAGAGCAGTCAGCGGACTAAATTGACTGCGTTTTAACTTTTCTCCAAAACGCTGCTTTTTGACTGACAGACTGAATGACTCAGCTCATATTTGCCAAGCACGGCATTCTGCTCGGAGCATGCAAAATACATTGATTGTGGTAGACCGGAGACCAGAGACTAGTTCGACTCGGGTATGCTGGACAAGTTCCAGTTCCAGTGGTTGCCCAGAATGCCCGGCCCCCGGTTGGCCCGTGACGTGCACCCCCACTTTTTCCACAGACTCTAGGGCCTCCAGACTGATCAACAAAATCATGGCCCAGTCCACCCGCGCGACTCGAGCCAATTCTCTCCTCCACCTCCATCCTCTCTCACGGCCAGTACAGGTGAGTGAATGAATCACAAGAATGAGCCAGCTGTTGGTGCCAATGGCCCGTCGATCGTCTCTGGGCGTGCATCATTGATTGTATTGGATGTTGTTGCTGTGCCTCCGGACCGCGAGCTGCTGGCAGTAGCCGTGATGTTCGAGCCGTTGCACCTGCCGAAACAGCCGATGCGATCGGAGGAGCTTGGATCAAACTCCAAGTTGCAAAATTCCAAATTGGCCGCCCTGCCGCGCGCAGCAACCACCCTCAAGAGAACACCATCGCACAGAGTCGATTCGCGCATCGCCAAACACAATCAATTGATTTCACCGCTCATCGGCTTTTCGAAAGACGGCCACCCTCCGGGCACCCAGCTGGCTCAATTGGTCCCCGAATATTTTTGCGCTGTTTACTAACGTTTACTTTGGCGCCCAGCAGAGCAACTCTTGTCGCCTCTCCACTCCAACTCCCCAAACAACATAATGGCTGCCATTAACACTGCTCTCGTCGCCCGTGAGGCTATAAGCACGCTCGTCAAGCGCAAGAGCTGGCCTGCCGAAAATGCCGGTGTCATGGTGGTGTTCTGCATTGTCTTTGTCGGTATGCAATCGGATGCCTTCCCCCCCCCATATTTGACCCCGGCCAATTCGTAATGGTTGAATGAAAGGGCAATTGTCATGGCCAGCCCAAGAAATACGAATCGTTTTGCTAACAAAAAATCCCTCGTCTAGTTGCCGTCGGTCTCATTGGTCTCTGGATCGCCAAATTCCTCTCCCGACGTAGGGAGGCCAAGGAGCGCGCCCAGGCCAAGTACTAGGCGTCACCTTTTCCTGGCGGGTGACGGCTAGCTGAGGCGTGGATGGGGAGCGAGAAGGATCGGAAGTGACGAGCTGGTTGCGGGAGAAGAGGAACAAGAAGACACACTCAAAAGAGGGAAGGGAATGCAGTGACGAGTTTGGGAAACTTTTGACGGCAGCGTCGTCCTGCGGAACCTGACCCTTTTCTTCCCTGGCGCTAAATCTGCGAACGACTTGCAGCCGACCACTTGAATTTATTCAACGTTTATTGAGTGCTACTATCATCTGGACACGGGTGTATTCTATTGGTCAATGTACATAGTGCATCATGTGTGGTCGGAGCGGCAGAGATTGATTACGAAACCCGGGGCTAGGAGGCTTGTTGTGCTCGGGTGCCCGTGGCCAGGCTTTGCTGTATTCTATATTCTAATACTGATACCTCTACAAAGTAACTTGCTCGCGCCGTGAGTATCGTCCGCCAGAACCAACCGCCATTCTAGCCTGTTCAATCGCTCGCCAGTGCTCATCATCTATTCACATTGTTTCCCCCCCCGAATATTCCCCTTCACAATCCCTCTCTGGCCAGCATATCCGCAATGCCCAGGTAAAACGCCACGGCATTGAACCTCCTCCTCCCCATCCACCCTCGCACCACCCACCGCAGCCTATTCGGCCAATTAATCAAGTCGAGGTGATTGACGCCCACCAGCGTCCCCTGGTAGGCGCCCCAGCGCGCGCTCTGCACGCTCACCAGCCCGTCGTTGGCGCCCTCGGCCGCGCCCACGATCCTCCCCGGGACGCGGAACGGGCTCAGCAGCGGCGGGGGGCCCGCCACCGCCCCGTACGAGAAGTACCTGACGGCCGGGTCGTCCGGCGTGGCCGGGTTGAACTCGCGCCGCATGTACGCCGTCGTGAGCTGCGCAAAGGCGCCCGTCTCGAGGCCCGCGCGCTCGAGCACCCCGTACACGCGCGGGAGGTACAAGGGGCCGGCCTCGGCGCGCAGCACGTAGTCGGCAAACGGCGAGCCGCGGGGCGGGCTGGACACCGTGGTCAGCGAGGCGACCCTGACGGGGAGCCCGCGCTGCCGGAGGGGGGGCGCAATCATCCAGCGCGCGTCGAGGCCGCCCATGCTGTGGGCGACGATGTTGACGCCCGCGGCGGCGTCGACGCCCGACCGGGTAATCTCATCCGCGAGTCGGGAGGCCCTGTCGGCGATGGAGCTCGACGGCGGGACGGAGGCGGCGACGACGGTTGCGCCCTGCGCCGTGAGCGCCTCGCGGATGCCGTGCCAGTAGTGGATGCGTGGGAAGGGCGGCACGTGCAGCTCTGAGAAGCCGAGGAGGCCGTGGGCCAGAACGATGGGGTGTTTGGGCGTTGCTGGGGAGTGTCAGCTTTTTCTCTTTTTTGCGGATGAGGAACGGGGAGGACTGGACGGACCGTAGTGTTTGCGGATGGCGGCGTAGTCGTCCTCGATTTGTCGGCCGATGTCGCGGATGCGAGGATCTCGCGCGCGCGAGAGGCGGCGGCTGCACGAGAATTGGCGGCGGATGGGACGCGTGCCGAGGGAGGCGAGCGATGCGCTTCGCTGGGCGCATTTGCTCATCTCGGCATTGCGAGATTGGGGATTTGGATGCTTGGGAGGGAAGCCGTCAACGGTGGTTGTGAGCTGAGTTGGTGGGTTGGTCCTGACGAACGGGGCTGACGTCATCAGATGGAGCTTGGTTATGTCCGGTTGTGCACATGCCGTGATGTGACTGATAACGGGGATTTTGTTGACCACAATGGCGTAATGTGCACAATGCTTATTGGATTATGGATTCATATTATAAGCTGCTGCTATGAAACAGTGTCTTATTCATGTAACAACCTGACCGTCTATGAGGCTACCCGTGCTTGAACCAAGGAAACCCACCCCCCAAACTCCCGTTGCAAAATCCCTTCATGCCGTCGTTATCACGTAATGAGCACCCTCGTCATCTCTTCTCCGCAGGCATTTGGCTTGGTGCGTTCTCGTTGGTAACGCCACTGTATGCTGGTCGGGACTGCATTCCGTCAAATGGTCCGGACAAGTTCTCGGCTATTGCCTCATCGTAGCTTGGCGGTGCATCGTCGTATGGCGGTACTGTTTGCCCAGGCAGTAGCTGAGGAGGGTACAATGGATCTTGTGGTGGCCGCTGTGGCATTTGCGGTCTCGGCGCCTGGGGCTGATGCAGGTTCGGCATCTGGTTCTGAGTGTGCGGCGGACCAACTGGTGAGCTGGGTGCCGAATTGCCTGGTCTTGGTGGCAGTTGCGGGGGGATATTGAGTGTCGCCCGACCAGGCCGAGTATTTCTAGCGGCCCTGACAAGCTCGGGCGGCGGTGTTATGCCCGAGAAGACTTCTGTCGCTCCAAAGTGCAAAGGGAGGAATATTGTCTGAGGGTGGTTGCTGGTGAAATTGGACTTGGCCTTGCCCCAGCATAGTCCCAGCTTTATTTCCACTTCATATCTTCGGGATAGATTGCAGGTGACAAACGACGGAGCAACGGTATTGGGAAGTGGCTTGTCCTTCCACAACGTATCCGGTACGACGACTTCGGATCCGACCTCCGCATCTGGACCAGAGGTCAAGGGTACGTTGAGGTCGGTGCTGGAGACGACAACCCAGCGGTTGATCTTTTTGTTGTAGATGTTGTATGTCCGTACCTCGGTGATGCCAATGAGGTCCATCTGGAACGAGATGAGGTTGACTTGTTCCGGACAGTCGACCAGCTTTTTGGCGATAAGCCGCAGAGGAATGGGTTTGTTGCATGTAAGAATCGAAGGGTGCGGAAGTCGAGCCGACATCTCGATGGATGGCGCCGGCGCCATACCTGGTGAGTCGACACCGGAACCATTGTTATTCGAGGTATCGCTGCTGCTCTTCTCTCCCTTCTTCGCGAAAAAGGGGTTCTTCTTTTTACTTTGCGGACCGGGCGATCGTGGCCGAAAGGTAAATGGACGACGGGCAAACGCCTCCTGGCCAGTTGATGCTGGCCTGGGAGGCTCCATGGGAAGAAATTTGTATCCGATTTGGTATCTCCAGTTCTCCTTGAGAAATCCGGGCCGTTGGACCGTAACTTTTATATAGTAGCGGACTTCGGCTTCCATGGGATACCCTGTCAAGGATGGCGGGAGGGTTCGGGTAACATGCTGAAGGTGCAGCTGTTTCGTGCCATCCATAACTCGAACTCCACCCATGCCGAATAGTCCGCCCCCGGATCCGAAGCCGCCCACGCCTGCGAGGCCGCCAATCTTGGACATGGCCATTGGGTCGCTGCAGGCGTTGTTGATGGGCAGCTTGAACTTGAAGGGGAACTCGTGTTCTCCCGGCTGCAGCGGGAAGGCGCCATATGGGTTCGAAGAACTTGAGTGGTATTCGTCGGGGAAGACCTGCTGGACCTTGTATAAAATCTTGTGATTCTCACTCACGATGCTGCCGGGCGGACCAGGCAACGGACCTGTCGGTCTGGGGCCAGTCTCTTCATAAGGATTCGGGACTTGCAGAGCAGTGACGGATTCTCCTTCCAGTTTTACGACTATGCTGCCGACTTGCTCGGAGCGATTGAGCCCGAGGATGATGCGTCCCGTCACATGGTCGAGGTTGGTGAAGAACTCGGGCTGATTGTCGAGAGCTATGCGGATGGACATGGTAGATGACGGCGCACAAGCACCATCGGGTGGCGGCGCAAAACGCTTCTTGTAGAAGTGACGAGGGGCAAGAGGAAGACACAGAGAATGGGATAAATAGGGAGAAATCTTGCCGATGCTACCCCGTCATGTAGACATGCTCTCGTTTGCGTCGCGCCTCAGGTTGGTTGTCGGCCGTGCGACGTGACTGGCGGCTGCGGGATAAAAAGCGGATGGTTCGGCTGCGCAGAGCAGCCAAGCTTACGGAGTAGCCAGATCCCGAAATAGAGGCGGCAGCGGGCTGTGGGTGTTTCTGCCGGGAATACAGTTCTCAAGCTGTTGCGCAGAGCTTCAGATGGAGAGAGGCGTTGTGGTCGTCGTCGATGTTGACGTCGTTGGGCTAAGCCTCAGCCAAGCCTCAGCCGAAGTGTCGAGTGGCCGGGTTGTGTGACCTGGTTGTGGCCAGTGTGGGCTCTGGGGCCGCGCGTTGAACCCATTGATTGGTGGCCAATGGCTGTGCCGCTTTTTTGCTGCCGTTTGCAGTCGAAGCAACGCCGTGCTTGCAGGCTCGAGACTCGAGAGTGGCATGCGAGCTTGTGTTTTGTCATTTACAAAATATTGTCGGGTTGGGAATGGACAAAGAAGCCAAGGCTGTCGGTTTGGCACAGTTTTATCAGGCTCACGGTCTTGCCAGCTAGACCAGGATAAAAGAGAGCTGGTGCTCGGTACTCGGTACTCGGTACTCGGTATTTGGTACATGCCCAGCTTGCTTCCTCCGTACGGAGTACTCCGTACCCAGAAAATGATATCAATGATGGCTCAGAGGATGGGCGGCCTGGGCCCTTTTTTCTCTTTTTTCTTTCTTTTTGCTTCACTGCCCGAATGTGCTCGCTGACGCAAATTTCGGAGCGATCGACTCGGTAGTTACATATGTAGGCTGATTGTTAATTTAAAGGATCAAGCTGCACCAAGCACACCTAGCACTCGCGGCCAACCCAAGGAGGTACCACGTACCAGGCACAGGGTGTGGCACTGCAAGGCCTGCACAGGTGCATGCTCCAGACTAAAGCCGACTTGCTCCTTCCTTTCAATGTTCAAAACAAAAGCATCATTTCTGGTGTGATGCTGAGACAAGGCGCAGGAGCCGTTGTTCCGTGGTCAACTGTCATAAATTTCCCTCCTCTGTACATGGAGCACAAGCCGTGCGACTCGTCAGGCCCCGGCATAAAGTCTGGAACAAACATCACTTTTTCATGGCCAATCTGTCTGTCCTAGATGCCGTGGGCCGCGCATTGTGATCTGCACATGCGAGTGACATTGCCGTTGAATCACCGGACACGAGCGCATCAGCCTGTTGTCCATGCGCCTTGACGGCTTCCGAACGCACGCTGTACTCTGTCGGCGGTGTGCTTATTGGCACTCATCACCACCTCGTTGGTCACCGGCATGCTCGTCGGGCCGCTGTGACACGGTCGAAACTCTTGGTTTCTGAAAGACACCAAAGACACCAAAGACTCTGGTACGCACATCTTGTCCGTCATTAGACCGTTTGCCCACGAGAGATGGCAGGAAATGGCACCAGCTAACAGAACTTTGGTCTCAGATCCAGCAGCAAGTGAGCTATTCTTATGGCTTGTTGGCCCGATTCTACAATCCCTCGACCATCATCGTCATTGCTCGTGCTCCAACGCCATTGCACGACGGCATCCACTACAAACCAGGAACCACCCAATCACCATGGCTCCTTCGACGTACTCCGTACGCTTCACACACCTAACTGGAGAACACAAGACCAACACCTGCCTTTCAAATGAGTAGCCATTCTTTGTGCTACCCGCCGCGACGCCACCACACGCAGCATGTTCTCTCTCGTCGGCAAAGGGGTCACGGGCACAATCTGCGCAGGGTCTTTAGGTGAGGGATAATGGGGGCAAATCCGCAAATCCCGGTCTGTTGTGTGCAGTTGTCGATGTCTGGCAGCGGCAGCCAACCCACCAACCACAAGTCTACTTACTACTATCGTCTCATCCCTGCTTTCAATATGATGCTGTACAACGACAGCCTTGTGAGTCTGACACACGCCTGTAGACACTTAGGGGGGGCAGATGTAGAGCCATGTCCGTCGTCCATTCTCGTCGGCCTGAGCTTCGGAGAATGGGGAACTTCTAAGCCCCCTCTCTGCTGCTCGTCTTTTGTCTTGCCCAGCAAGTCTCGCCAGCTTACCATTTCCCGCTGATCCATATGGAGTACACAGTGAGTGGTTCTTGAGACCCCGAGTGCTTGGGGGCGACGGCAGGACCAAACTCCCGGGACCAATATCCTTTCCCTCTGTTTGCTCCCATGGTTTGGCCGGGCCATTTGTTATGTTCGCAGACAGAGAACCCACTACTTGTGACGGCGCTGTCGGAAAGCTTTGTTGCGGAAGTAGATTGGGCTCATCTAGAGGTGGCCGAGCCTCGTTGCTTATCGTAGCAGATTAGTGGATGATACATATTACGACGGGCTGCGCAATAGCGAATGCGGTACCTTGTGAATCACACCATCTGTCAATCTAGCACCCGTTGGTGCCGCCAGCATGTATATTCTTGCCATTAACCAACGGCAGCACTGACCGCAAAGCCATCCACGCCCCTTCACCCCCCCAACGGCCTGCATGGCCCGGCTGTTGGGCTGCATGTGTGCCGGTTATCGTTCGCCGTAGGCAGACGCGGGGATGGATATAAACAAGGCCTCTCCCCAGAAGGGTTGTTGGACTTGGTGGCTGTTGCCACTTGCCCAAGCTTTCATCTGTGATACGAATATGAAAGACCTGGTCTACATTTATCATGGAGGCCAGCTGTGGCTCATCTTGCCCAGTTCCTGGAGGCTTTTACAGCTTTAGCCCCAACGTTGGCGGCAACGTCGTGCTACTTGCAATCCACGCTCTTCTCTTGCCTGCGGTCCTATACTTTGGTGTGAGATTGCAAACTCGATTCTTCTCGTTGACCTTGGCAACAGGCCATCTGCTGAGCTTGCTTGGCTTTGTTGGCAGAGTCTTGCTGCATCAAACCCCCGACAACCCTGGGCACTTCCTGCTGTCACTCTTGGGCACAGTGTTGGGTCCATCATTTTTCACAGCCTCGATATTTGTGGTATTCCCGCATATCCGCCGTGTTTACGGAGAACGTCTTGGTCAAAACAAGCCGACACTTGCTGCTTCCACCTTGTTTGGCTTGACTACTGCGGCGATTGCGGTTGAGGTGGTTGGGATTGTGTTTGTTACTTACAGATATAACGGTCTATCAGTGAGCTGCATGCTACAAGTGACGTGACGAATAAGGCATCGGGGCTAACTTTTGGTCAGAGAACAAAATGTGCTGCAATCGTGCTTGCAGGCTTGAGTGTACAGGCTGTAGCGCTGCTGGGGAGTGCAACTGCGTACTTTTGCCTCGTCTTACGATTAAGCTCCGGTGACTGCGTCTCCGATGGGACGCACTCAACAGTCTACACTTCATCCCAGTTTGGAAGATTTCTTCGAGGTAAAGACGAATGAGCAATACATGGCTCAAAGGTCACTATCTAACCGATTTCTTGCAGGCATTGAGATATCCACTACACTCCTCCTCGCGTATTCAATCTATAGAATAGTTGAGCTAGCTGGCGGGGTAGATGCCGGCTTGTTTCAGAACGAGGTTGCCTTTATGATAATGGACGGCGCATTGCCCCTAGTATCTGCCACTCTTCTCACAGTTTTCCATCCCGGTGCTGCTTTTGGAGCAGCGTGGAAGCAAACATCGCCTCGCCGGCCGAATCGACCGAGTCCCTTGCCTCTTGAGGAGGATGAGCATCAGAAGAGCTACAACACACACCATGCCTACGACCCAAATATCCGTCAACACTTGTCCCCAAGGTCATACACGTCACAAAAAATGACAGGGAGTCCTTACGGGCAAGAAATACCGGGCGGCCCCTCTGGACTGCCCTCGAACCCGAGGCCAAACGCGAAGCCGCCAAGTCCAATGGTTCCCTCTCCGAGATCAAATGTTTCTACAAATAAGCGTCTCAGTGACAGATCAGAGAGGCGAGCTAATCTGCAGAAAGATATGGTGGATAGTGACGCTCTGTGGTAGTGAATGAGTACCGGAATTATGCGTGGATATCTACAATGTTTCAATATTCATTGGATTGCAGAAGGTTATGAGGATTTCAATGCTGGGGCGACGTACCATTGACGTTGTAGGCTGAAGGCCGGAGTCATGAGGTGGCAGCCAAAGTTGGTGGCTCTTATCACAGGGCAAATGTCCACGCGGACACATTTTCTTTTCGCAGACAGGGTACGTTGGAAGCTTATTCTCGCTTTAATTATTATCACATTAGATATACCTCGGGATCGTTCCATAACTCGCCTGATGCGGTGTTGTCGGTCTTTGCTTTCAGCGGCAGTAGCGTCGATGCCGTGAATCACGATGGTCGAGCATGCGCTCAGTGGTGTTTGTCAACAGAAGCAGGTGCCGAGGCGGTTCAGAGGCGAGGTCCCAACTTGACATTCAAGAGGATCAGAACTTGTGGTACATCTGTCCGACTTATTCTACTTCGACGAGCCGTGACCGCCCTCATTTGTCGCACTCTCACCGGCCGCCAAGGAAATTAGTATGCGTGTCCTAGGTGATTTACGTTTCGAGGTATCAACATGTGCTACTGAAGAGGTGCGACAAAGGTGCCATCTTCATTTATCTGGCTTGGAGAACCGACTATTTGGGCTAAGTGCCTGTCCAAAAGTCCGTTTACAGTTGGCAATCCGGCCAGAATGCAGAATGTGTCGGCGTCTAGTTGATGTAATTTTGGGTATAACAAGTCCGGTATCCATATAGCTGCCTTTATTTCCTCAACGCTTTCGGATGTGAACCATGAATGGAAGAAGCCCAGGAGCATTGTGGAGGCCCCAAGAACATGTACCTGCATATGTGTATGTATGTTACGGCCACTGCCGAATCGCGCCACTATTTTCTCGCCTCTTTCGAGGGTGCGAAAAGCACGGGTGAGTGTGTTGATGCTCATGGAGGCCGATGCCGAGCCGGAAATGGTCGCAAAACAACCGCCGCCGCGTCGTGCATTGTCGGATGAACTTTGGCCAGGCTCATCCATGCGTCGCATTCCACAATGACATACAGAAGGCAGGCAAACGTGAAAAACCATTCAGGCGGCACTCTAGAATTTACAAAGTTGCGACTAGTTAGCCCGCGTCAGATACTATAAAAGGCTGGCTCTACATGCGACAGAGTCATGGGTTGCGTCAAATGATGCAGTTGATATTGCAGCTTTGTCCTGATCCAGATTCCAGTCCGTCCGCAGCCTTGGAATTTTCTGACCGTCTTATTCCCCACACAGCTCCCCGACATGAAGACAGAAAAAAGTCTATTCGTCCGCTATTTCCCAAATTTTGGTCAGAGCAAAGACTCAGAAGAAAAAAGCAGGGTATTGATGCTTCTGCAGCAGGGAAGAGTGCCAATACGCCACGCACGCTCAACTTGGTGCAGGTTCGGCTGAACAAACAAAACCGGTCTCCCGAGGTACCCAGAGAGAAGGTCTGTATAGTTTAACAATGCTCAGATGTAGGGTATATCCCGCAGCATGTCCTACTGCACCACGCAGCGCAGTCCTTAATACCACAACCCGGCGTGACGCAAAAACCCATGCAGCTCGGCCAGTCGGTGTGTCGTTTGTCGAGTTCTTGGATGGGGCTGGCGAGTGCGAGCCCGGCGAAGGCCATGGCCACAAGTGTGAACTTCATGTTTGCTGGAAAATAATGGAGGCGGTGGTAAAAGATGTTGACTCTTGAGGAGGTGAGGCTTGATTGTTCGTTTGGAGCAGAGGCAGCTTCAAGCTGGTATTTATGCTTTTTACAAGATGACTATACGCGGTGCGTCCGCTTGTCCGAAGCTGACGTGCGCTTTTGCTCTTGTGATGCAGCCGCTGCAGAAAGGCAACGCATCTAGGGTCTCGTGGAGTCTCTTGAATGTAACCGGGCCCTTTCTTACGTGCAGATATATTGGGTAACCAAGCCCGTTCCGGTGACTTGGAAGACTCGCGCCCAATGAGCAGCTTTGCGTTTCTGGGAACACGCCATTCCCGCCTGCGCAAGGACGAATCGAGACGGAAAGCTGAATGAATGAGCCGGGTTGAATCGTACATGGCCGGAAGTTGCTCCGTTGAGGGCTCCGTAACCTCCCCGCCTGTTCTGTAAGAATGACATCTCGTGTGGTCGGATGACTTCTTCGGGTTTCGAGAACGCATGCAGCAATGACTTACCGTACAGCAACTCGTCCACTTCGTTGCTGGCGGGTATGTAGGAAACCTGGACATTTCGTTGATGGCTTATGAAGCCTAGGAGTAGAGGCAGTTGCTTACTTTCGTTCCATGTCCTGATTTTGCAAGGCATAAGCAGCCCCGCCTCACATAAATCGTCTGATATCAACATGGACGGGACATGGATCCTCCCGATGGACCGACAGAATTGAAGCTGGTCGGGACTCGAGTCTAATAGTGGTTACAAGAAATGTTGTCCTTTTACCTCGCTTGGGGAATCCTACCGTACTGTTCACGTAAGGCATCAATATTTCTGTTCATGGCCTCACGCATGCCCGCTGGCATAATTGCCGGGTGGGACAGGCTGCAATTCTCTACTGCGCCATTTCCATCTACCTTCATGTGCAAGAGACTTCATTGGGTCGTGGCTTTGGGCCAGCCAATTGATGGGTTCACGGGAAACCTACAATCACACGGTACACTGCGGAATCATGTTAAGGCAGTATCAAAGAAACCCTGCAAGTCCTGACACCAAACTCGGCCCTAGGTTTCCTACCTGCAGGCGACGCAATGTAAGACTTGGGGGAATCACTCCGAGGACCAGCAACCAGTGCGTCCACAGCCGGTGGTGCGCGTTTCATTTGAATAGATTGGCAAAACAGCATGAAGCTTATATAGCGACTGCGACGCTGCGGTCCCCATGACTCGGACAAAGATGGTGCCACTATCATGCAGCAAAAGCCATGAGGTCTATAAGTGTATGGGCTGTCACCCACCTGTTCCCCGTCCGGCATGACATGGAAAATTCACGCACACGTGTGCAGCCCGACCAATAGTCGCTCCAGGACTCTTTCAACTGCCTATCGCCACATTCTTTGACGTCCCAAATTGACAAACGAGGTCGATGGTGGTTCTGGCCAGCGATGCGGCTTTTGTCGGCGCCTTGACGCCCGCCGCTGATGAACCCACGGCCGAGCCTAAACTTCCATTAATCCCGTGGGAATACGGCGGCCAATTTTGCGGATCTAGCCCCGACGACTCCGTTTTTACCATTTCGGAGAAGCATTGCGGCACGGACGAAAGGCTGATGGCCAAGGACGTGCGTAGCTGTCGCCGTTGTGGGAGGTGACGAGCAATGCACGCTTCAAATGCGCGTTGCAGTCTACCGGGGCGATTTTTGCGTAGAGAGAATATAACCCTTCTGGAGAATACGTTGGACGAGACTCTGTTATATTAAGTATAGTAGAACTGTATATAGGATATGTGTAACAATGAAGCGACTTGAGTCGGCGCAGCTGGTTTGGATCCAATGCAAATGCGGCTTTTATCCGGCCGCTAGCCAAACCCAGAGGCTAGGGCCGGCCCGCGCCGGGCGCGTCTAGTTTCAGCGCGCTGATTGGATATCGCGACGTCAAGACTCAAAATCATGATGGCGGCCACAACATCACCAACTCTCGCGCCTACAACAACTTTTGCTGGCCGGCTCCATCTTCATCGCCAACTTGTGCTACACCTGGGCCACGTTCAGCTGGATCCTCCCAGTCATCGGGTATCTCGCACGGAGCAAGCTCAACGAGTAGATTGCCGCCCCCTGCGCAAGTGTATGCCAAGGCCGACTTTTACTCCATTGCCAAGGGACACCTCAGATTCTGGCCGTCGTCTCTTCTGTCTCTCTGGCGAATCGCACGTCCCGCCGTCAACAAGCCCTTTGGCGTCAACGTAGTTCCCCCGGATTACTTCCCCGAACCCTTTTGCTACCGCCCCGATCGCTGCCGATCATGACGAGCCCAACCTGGTGTTTACTCGGCGCGGCGACTATTGGCGGGACTTGCAAGAGAAGAATAGAGCCGCTAGCTCATCTTGAGGTTTTGTGAAGCGTCTGTAGCGGCCTCGAGCAGCTAGTAGGTCGGATTTGCCCCCTTTATGTAGAATAAGATGTTATCACCTTTGCCTTTTTAGCATCTGTACAATCGTCTCGTACCCCTTCTCTTCAGCCAACGATAACGGTGTTCGACCATCCTTATCCTTTATTGTACAGCTGGCACCATTTTGGAGAAGCAAGCTCACAAGAGACTCCCTTCCTCTCATAGCAGCCCACATGAGCGGTGTTTTGCCTTCGTCATCATCTTGTGGGTCGACATGAGCTCCTTTCTCAAGCAGCAACTTCACAATAGCTGCTCTCGGCCTCTCAGATGCCCACCATAGCGGCGTCCGACTATTCCCATCTTTTGAATTGATATCAGCGCCCTTCTCAAGAAGAAACATGACCATAGAAGCATCGGCATACTTCGCAGCTGCCATCAACGGAGTCCGTTCATTGAAATTCTTTGAATCAATATTTGCGCCTTCTTTAAGAAGCAGCTCAACGACAGCTTTGTGCCTGCGCATCACTGCATGCCACAACGGTGTCATGCTGTTTACATTCTTAGAATCAACATTGGCGCCCTTGTCGAGAAGCAGCTTGACAATGGCTAAATCACCCATAATAGCGGCCTCCTCGAGCGGTTTACTGTGGACATCTTTATTGGCATCAGCGCCATTATCGAGAAGCAGCTTGACAATGGCTAAATGACCGCGGGAAGCGGCAAAAAACAGCGGCGACGCACTGCCGAACTCATAATCTAAATTGGCATCAGCACCATGGTCGAGAAGCAGCTTAACGACGGCCACATGGCCATTTTGCGCCGCATAGCTCAGGGGCGTCTGATTCTCCGTATCTCTAGAATTCGGATCCATGTTGTTCTTGACAAGCTGGTCCCGTACCGCTGAGTAGATGCCAAAATATGCTGTCATGTGTAGCCCCGGCGTTTGTGGATTTCTGTGTTCGATGAATGTATACAATGTTTTCACTGGCCAGCGCCGGATGAACCATAATACTTGAGTAGATGCTTCTACTTTCTTCTGACAACGTAGAAAATACTCAACGTCATCGTACGGTGTTTCAGCTTCGCGAGCATGATGTCCCCAGCTAGACGCGGCGTAACCGTAAAATGGATGTAGCCACAACCTCTCGTGCAAATCTCATTCGCACTGACAACGTCCGCCCTCAAAAGCGCTAAACGAGAGATAAGTGACGCACTTGAGAGCCATTTGGGCATGTGAATTTCGAAACCATTTATCCTGTGTGTTCTCTAAATATTCCTGCAATGTGTAGTGGACCAAACAGATGGCCATGCTTTCTTCATCAATGGTGACCAGTCCGGCACAAACTGATACCAAGTCCTGGATATCGGCGAGATTATTTTCATCAAATTCAGACTTGTTTATTTCCACTGCAAGTGCGTGCTGGAGTTCTAACGTGGTCAGCGCTCGCCTCGCGCACGTAATCCAGCCCAGAACCTGAACGGCGAGTTCCCGACGGCCAGGGCTTTGGGCATTAACTCTCTGCATGGCGTCATCAAACGCATTGGCAAGCACCTGACTCCTTTCATATGAGTCTGATCCCCGGCTTCGTCTTTGGAACTTGTCTAGGGCGTTGATAATGGCCTTTGGTGTCAGCTTATCCTCGAGGAAGTCAAGATATATTTTGGCCAAGAGAAACCTGCGAATAATTAGTACCCTCTTTGACTACTCAAACTGTAGGCTCAAATACGTACATGCCATCGACAGCCTCTGCAATTCTAGTCTTGATTTCTAGTTGCAGCTGTGGGCTGTTTTGAACGACGTTTGGAAGCTGATGCATGTGACCGTCGAGATATTTCTTTATGTCTTCAATGTCCGCACGGATCTCGATCTGTTTGCTCCCGATAAAGTGTAAAGAGCTCTTGTTGTTGAACTTTTCAGTAATATCCGGAAGAAATCTCGAAGTAGCAAAGACGCTCGTTCCACAGTTGGCCTGCAGGTTAATCATCTCTGCCAGGAAAACTTTTCGACAACCACCAGCTATCTGACACTCATCAAGCCCATCGATGACAATAAAGACTCTCGGATACTGTGGAATTAGAACATGTAAGGCTATCCGAGTCTCGTCCAAGCACGGTCGTGTCTGTCTCTCTTTGTGCTTGTCGTAGAGTTCCCCCACAACACTTGGTAGAGAGCCTTGGGTTTGGGCAAGCTGCTTTAGTAGATTCAGCAGCACGTCATCAACTGTCTGTTCAACATTGTATTGAAAGTAGATGTAAGCGATGGCGATGTTTTGCTGGTCTCGAAATCTTTCTTGAAGATAGTCCACCACGACTGAAGTAAGGGTAGTCTTCCCAGCTCCAGGGATTCCCGGACAGAACAATGTCTGCTTACTTGTCTTAGTCCACTCCTGGAAGGCCGTGGAATCTAAAAGCCATTGGCCAGTTTGGGGCTGTCGTTTCCTCAACAAGTCACTCTGAAGAGGAGCGTAGTTGACTTGAGTAAGCCAATCAAGTATGTGTTGATGTTGTCGCTCATGGTGTGTATCGAGGAGTTTGTGGAGACCATCCTGGACATCTGAAATATTAATTAACATTCTGTCTTGGCATGATAACACTGCTCGCTACTACTAACCAGACAGGACCTCAGAAATATTTTTCTCGTCCTCAACTTGTTCAGGACGGACACGTTCGAGAAGATTCTTCGCATACGCAGCTGCTGTCATGGCTGCATATCCCTGCCACTCGTCATTCTTGTGCGTATCTGAGTAGTCACAGATTCCACGAATAGCTAGGCAGGGAAAGTTATCCATAAGCCCTGCGGCCTCCATCTCAAAGCATAAAACGTCCTTTTCCATGGCAAGCTTATCCCGGATATAGGCATCCTTTAGTAAGTTATCGGCAGAAGCAATTAGGCCGTGGTGAATAGTAATCTCCTTTCTTTTCGGCCGTTCAGACCGTGCTACAAGGCATGACGGATCTTGACTGCAGACTTCAGCACAAGGCGCGTCATCATCACTCGCGTGGATGATGTCGCTCTTGTAGAGCCTATCGGAACCTGGATCCGGTCGGCTGTATTCTTCCTGTAGATCCGGGTACTTCTCGAGGACGTCGTCGATATTCTTTATCAGCGGATGGCCGCGTAAAGCATACTGGCTCTTGAGTCCGTTCACTGCCGCCAGTAGCGAAGTTGGTGGCATGTTTAGATGTTTCGTTTCCTGGAACTTCTTGCCTTGTATCGATTTTCCAAAGTTGTAGTAAAACACCCCCCCGAACCCATTGCGAGGAACGCTGACCACGACATCCCCTAAACGGATGTCATGTTTCTGGTGTGGCGCGCCGCCGCCAATGCCCACCATTAAACCAATTTTAATATTTGGGAAGGTCCTCATCATGTTAGCTGCAACCTGTGCTGCACTCGCTACGCCGTATTCGCCTGCTGGTAGGACGGCGACGACGACATTATGCTCCTTGATCTTGCCTAATGTGTAGTCGTTGCTGTCTGTCGACGATTTATAATAAGGCCCATCATACTCGTCGTCGAGAAATGCCCGGGCGGCAACATTCTCAGGGTGAATAGCACTTATCCATCCCACATGATACTTGCTATTTATGCCCTTGAGTTGATAAGGACGGCCACTTTTCTCTCGTGCTGCGTGCTGCGACTCCATTTTCTTAGGACTCTCGTCTTGTGCCTCATCAAAATTTCTGCGTTTCGCATCACCGAGTATAGCTTCGTCATCGTCATCGATCTGTAGAGTTCTCTTTGGGCCGTTCCCTCGTTCCATAACTTATCGTCGCCTCGGGTCGAGGGAATAAGACTGAAATGCAATGTGGCGAATCAGGCAAACAGGCACCAGACCGTTAGGACCAGGCCCAAAGGATTCTAGGGCCCCTTGGTGACCTTTAAGAGGATCAGGCAGTTTCGAGTCGTATACTAGTCGATTTGATCAAGTCCTCGATGCTTCTGCCTGTTACATGGAGCCTGCAACGGTATACACTTGGAACCCAGAATTTAGGGCCCGAAGTCTTGGAGTGGCAGGGAAGCAAGCCTGTCGCCTTTGAGAAGATATCTGAAGAGGCAGCGTGAGAGTAAGAGACGCCAAGTCTTGGACAATCTCAATTTGGGTACCGATGATATCTTACCACCACCAGGAGGGTAAGGGCAACGCGTGGGATGGTCGGATCAGGCTTGTATCCAAGATGGAACAGTACAGTCCAAGATACATGAGTTGCTCACGTAATTTAAAACGCTGATTGCACTTCAAACGCTTCAAGATGGATGCTACGAGGCAAAACAAGCAGAGACTTTGGAAACAGAAGGTGGGTGGCGTTTCGTCCTTTGGGCTGAAGTTGGGCATATCTGCAGCGGCACAACGACGCCGAGATTGGGGGCTTAAGCTGATATAAGCATATGCCAACTAACTTCAACTGAGGATTTAGTGTGATTGGTTCTGAGTTTACGAACACTATTGTTACACAATATGACAATGCTGGGAAGTGGCTTGAGACACGCATGAAGGCGCGACCCGACGCGGGCAACGTTGGCCGCGGTCCACAGATCGTAGTGGACGTCAACTTCGACAGTCTGACGAGAGGCAGGTTTGTGGAAATTAAAGTTGTACGAGTTGATGAGGTGATTTATCATCTAGCGGAAGTAGGTGACTGGCCCAACATAACATGATTGGTATTTTTCACGAGAGCAGTTTCATGTCGAAGTTTATAGCATTTTGAAAGAGGAGTTACCCAGCATGCAATAACCTTTACTCGGTGACGGGTTTGCCCTGTAATCGCTCGTGCTTCAGTGCTGGTTATGCTTGCGACTGGTTATACTTGCGAGCTGCTCAATGCCAACTCCTTCTCGACGCGGGCCGCGACATGCTTTCCTACGCGTCCAAGGCAAATTCTTAAGCCGATTTCAAGCAGAATTAAAGGTATTACATTTAAAAGCACACTGGAGAAGTGCCGAGTGTTGCTGAGTTGCTCTGTCCTGAGGAGACTCATCATCCTGCTCAGAAACCGCACTCCGTGACAACTTATAGGCAAATCCGACATGACGATTCAGCAGATTCGCGACGAATGTCGGTCCCGACTCAGAATCTGCGCCATATTCACTCAAAAACCACGTCGAGACCTGCGGCGGCTTGAGCCTGTTGAGAGGGGATTGATGCATCGGCCCGATGCAAGCTCCTTGACTGGCCACCGTTGTCAGGCCGAAAAGGGGTAGCGGGCCAGCTTAGTCAGCTGAGTCAACACCATAAAAAGTAGACCACGATCTAGCTGGCTAGCTAATCAATAACTGTGAATAGCATCCTTTTGAACCTGATCCCTCGATCACATGTGCATGCACATAACCCCCGGCGAGACCTACAGATACAGATGGTGATTAGTTTTAACTAACTTGACCGTTTATAAAGGGGCTATAATCTCGGCTGCGTTAGCCGCGTGAGGCCAGATCACGTGACAGAGCACGCCAGTCACGGCCGCGTCGCCCCGGTTCAAATGTATGAGATGAAGCGGGTCGCCCTTGGCGCTGGCGATGTGAGTTGGCTCAGGAGTGACATGTTTGTACGTCTACCGAGTCACTCGGAAGCCAATAACTTTGGACGTTGTGCGGCCACCCTGGTCTGTTTTTCTGACACAGCGTCCGAAGCCGTTGTACGGGTAGCTCATGTTGCTGTAGAGCGTGCCGGAAGAGTCGCTTCTGAGGAGCTGGTGATATCGCTTTGGAGGTACCAAAACGGTTCATTTGAGATGATTTGCAACCGGTATCCGCCCGCGCCGCCGCTCACCAATCCTCCGGCCTCGACGCACCAAGGACCCTGTGAGTGTGTGGTATCTGAGAATATCTGTAGCTCTCGACGTGTCGTGATGCCACGTGGTCACCATGGCATCCTGTCCGTTCTCCGTTCGCTCAGTGTGGGAGACGACATGGCATTGCTCGATAATGCGCCACGGCGGGTAGTTGATGGTCGTCCTCCTTGTACTGCATCTCTTCCACTAAACTTGAAAGACTTGTAACATGTCTAATGTGACTAAATGTACAGTAGAGCATCTTCCACCGCGCTGCATCTTCTAGATTGCGTTGTCAACGGGTCATTGAGTACGTAATCTAGGCCAAAGACTGCGTACTCTAGGAAACCCGGCTAGACTAGCTACTTCGATGACAACCTTCAATTGGGGCCTTTTCCTGCCTCTTCAATTGAAAGGTGGCCTTTTCTGATGCCCTGTGAATTCAATGATAAAAGAGGCCTCAATTCCCTCGATAGAGAGCTTCAATCCAGCGATCAGGTCCACGTTCAATACGACCCATGGCTCTTAAACTCGTGATATTAATCCTTGAAGCACTACACGGCGATCAATTAACGCACCAGAATTGCGGCTATTTACGACGATATCAGCATATACAGTGGGAGGATACAGTGGGAGGCAACAGTGTTTACAAGATCAGGTACCAGGCTATGGATCTCTATACTATAACATACTACAATAGGCTAGTGTATACTCCATGGTGGACAGATGTATTCTAAAATAGACCCAAGCAAGCTACATGGGAGAGTACGAGGAGGTAGGTAAAGAGTAGACATAAAGATGACCGACACACGAGAGGGTAGGGGAAACCTGGCAGATTGCTTGGGAGTAAAGGCAAGGCGAGGAGCTGTGTCATAATGAATCATCTTCTTGCTTCCTGGATGAAAAGAAAATAGGCGTTTTAAATCTAGCGCGAGCTAGATAGTGTCCCATGTGGCTGCTGGGTCGACCAGCAACACCACGCATCGCGCTAGGCTATAGAATAGGAGCTAAAGATTAAAGAGTTCAAGATGACAAGTACATTGACACGTTTGCCAGCATCCCCAATAGGAATGGTCCTCGACGTCCTTGTTAGCCTCTACATTGGCAACCCAAATCCGGGTCGACGAGGCTATTCGAGACACATGTCCTCGCAGCCTAAAAGTACACAAAGCTACGCGAAGCCAAGTAAAAGTACCAAGGAAGAACCTTTAGGCTTCGTGTGCTCTGGAGTAGCATCGTCTGGCTAGCCTCGCACATCCGACCTCGTGATGAACATCACAAAGCAGCACCGGGGCTTACATCCAACAGCTTCAACGGGGTCGAGTTCAGCGGCATCGTGCAGTGTTGCTTAGAACTCTTGCAAGGACTCACGTGAGAATCGGACATGGTCGTCCATGTGGATGAATCCCGAAAAGGCGACAATGACCAAGAAAAACCACAGAGGCTTTGGAAGCTAAGTCTTGAACCAAAGCAGGTGAAACCACTCTACATGACAATCATGACGAGCACCCAGTCTCCACAATGCTTTGCACGGCATATTCACTCATTACACCTTGATCAGCTAGCTCTTTTGCTGATTTCTGTTTCATCCGATTCGGGATTTGGTGTGTATTGCTCTTCCGGGAGTGCATCACATGCACAATGGCCCTCCCCCTGGAAACCAGCAATGTGCCCTCTGCGCAAAAACAGTAGCCCGACCCAAGAAAAACATTCAGTAGTGTCTCCCTCGCGCATTAGTTGTATAACATGCCCGCTTCCCTCTGGGCCCAACATGCTTTTGCTTCAAAGAGTCTCACACAAGTAAAACAAACTCTTCTTCCGCAATCGGCCTCCTCCCGGCTCTCAATTATCCCAGTTTACTCCCACAACCAGAGAATACCCGAGATGAAGGCCACAATGGCAATAGCAATGTCCCTAATCGGGCTATTAGGGACAGCGTCAGCTCTAAGGTCGGTCAACAAGGCAACGTGTGAATGGGAGGACACAGACTCGGGGCTTAAAAGCAGATATTGTTCTTTTCTCCGATATTGCCCTGGAAACGAGGAATGTTTATGCCACGGCGTCTTTCCCGACTCCTATTGCAGATTTCACGTGAGTAGTGGCCCTTGACTAACTGGCCGGCAAGAGAGTGTTGCTAATACATGTCCGTGATTAAGGAAAAGGTTGACGAGCCCGTGCCTGCGCCCCCGGAGGAAGATTAATTTTTGCCAGTATTATGAGAGCCTGGGGTGTTGTTTATACTTGTGTGCTGGAACCAGGCCGGGCTTCACGTGGGGTTATTTCTGTCATTGTAGCATCTTCATTTCAATGAGACCAGGCTTATTTTTATATACTTGAATAAGCTATTTAGCCTAGTCTTTCTGGGATTAGAATGGGTTCATGCCCGAGCTCTTGCGTCTCCTTGGACTCGCAGTATGCCATCCTCGTCAGGGGGAAATTGTAACAGGGATCCAGACTGTAGAAGCCAAAGGACTTGCAGTGGCGTCATGAGTCACCTTCTGCCATCCTTCCACTTCTTGATGGCGACTAAGGCGATTAAGAGAAGGCACAGAAAAAGTCACTGAAAGGTCTATTGATCAAGTGTTGGTTGATGCTCTGCAGGCGCGACTGGCAGATGTCTTTGAGCTACATCTTCTGACATTAACGAGGACCTGCCTCTAATGATGAACGATTTAAAAAGTAGTAAAAAACTATGCCATTCCCAAATTCAGGATGTACTCAGCATGCAGGGTCTACTCTTGGTGTTGACTCCCTGGTAGTTGGCGGATCAAGGAGCTGGCTCGCAATGAATATCTGCTCTGGGGTCAGCATCTCGGATGTCTCGCATAGCAATTCGCTACAAGACTTGTCACGAAGAATCCTGGAAAGATTTGGCTGGAAGTAGTCCGTCGTGAATAAATAAATGACACGAGCCGGTTTAATTTTTCCCTACCCTAGAGTTCTGCGATTTATAGTAGATTCTTATAAGTTTATACTTTGCCTAGTATTACCAGGCAGAGCCATTTTTTCACGTGAATAGGCGTAGTAAATAAATAAATAAACGAATAAATGCATATTAATAGAGTTAATCGGAGCCATGCATACAAGCACGTCTCAAGGATGTCCTTTGTCAGGTTCAGATATTCGCATATTGCACGAGGTCTATGATCGCGACGCTGCGATATAATGCTCATGGCATTACTGGCAACAGCATCAGAGCCTTCCTCACTAACCATTTCCCAATCGCCCTGCGCTTTAAAGTAAACCGTCACTTGCGGGTGTTCAATGTACGAGTATTCTATGTGCTCGCATTCATAGCGTCTGCGTTAAACGAGGTGAGAGTAGCAACCAACTCTCATTATTGTTACTAATCGTTCTCCAATCCAGACTCATTACCCGAACCGCCATCGTCTACACTACTCTGGCTAGCATTGGAAATTTCGTCATCTACACAAGGAGTCCTCCAGGCTAATAAAGGAGCACAATTCGGAGCTCTCATGTCGTGCCAACTACACCGACCCTCTTGGCAGCATTTCTGCCATTGCCAGCTGGCTCTGCAAAACAGGAATCAGTCAACTTGAGCTCACGAAGAAAGGTCAAGGTGTTTTATGCAACTTACCTCTCGTACCACGTCGTAATCTCTCACCCACTTGAGAAACTCTGGCGAGTGTCGAGGCGCAGTCATGTCCATCTCGACACTGTCCAGATCCGGAGGAGGTTGACGACCCAAGCTCGCCATTTTCTCATCTCTCGCCCTCTGTTCCAGCCCATCCGGCAGACTCCACAGCCTCGCGTTCTCTGTAGACTGTCGCATGAAGACGTCGCATCTCGGTTTGCGCAGCTCAACCCAGGCCTTTGTCACCGCGGGCACATGGGCACTAATGTCGCTTCCTGCCCCCCCAACAAGACGCAGCATCTGCGCAAGGCTCATCCCATCTTCAATTCCTTGACTCAAACCCTGCGCTCCGTGCGGCAACATGGCGTGTGCAGCATCCCCAGCAAGCACCACCCTCCCGTTCTTGCTCCGCCACGTTGTCAAAGACGGCCCCATTGCCATTTGCCACTTCTCCGCATGCCGTATATACTTTAGATAGGCGCGAGTTATGGGACCAAAGTCGGAAAATCGTGCCCTCAGTGCGTCAACGTCGGCTGGCGTGTTCCAGTTGGCATTGACGGGCCCAGGATCCGCATGGTCAACATCGATCAACTGCACCCCGAGGTAGCCGCCGTGCATGTGTCGGCTTAAAATAAAGCGGCCAGGTCCTAGAACACCATGTTTTGTGCCCGGCTCGAGCCATGCTGCCAATTGCCTGTCCCCCGCGAGGTCAGCAACACGACTCTTTGTAAGAAAGATGGATTCCCTGAGAGGAATGGGATCGACATCCCGCGCGGGGAAGAGCATTTTGCGTGTCGCGGATTTGATACCTGAAACAAGACTCGACATGAGCTCCTATTGAGACCAACTTTGTGTTCAATGTCTGTGGTTTGATGAGTCAAACATACCATCTGCTGCTATGACAAGGTCCGCATGGTGCGTCATTCCATCTGCGGTCGAGAGGCTTGCGCTATCCGCAAGCTCCTCGACTTTGACAACGGCCGTGCCGAAAAGCAGTTGCACGCCGCTGGACACGGCCAATCCATGGAAAACATTCTGCACTGATGGCCGATCTGTTTGAAAGCGCTTGTCGGACCGACATGGCTGCTGCGCCGCCGCTGCGACTGCAAATGGCTTGTCACCGGTATAAGACCACAGGCGCAAAGGACCCGCTTGTACGCTGACGCGTTCGAATGCGCTGTGCGCGCCCTTTAGATACTGGAGAGCCCGGGTCGCTGCTGGCTGGATTACCAGTGCGTGTCCGCGGGGCTCCGGGTCCTGTCGTCGCTCAAAGACGGTGACATTGTGGCCCTGCTGCCTTAATGCCGCGGCAGTGCAGAGGCCGATCGGACCAGCGCCAATGACGGCCACTTTGAGACGCGACGTGGCTGGGGTCGTAGCCATTACCGCTGTACTTTAAAAGACGAAGAATGGTTGAGTGAGAGGAATACTCTTGGCAGGGCGATCTGTCATGCCTATTTATACCCAGTCTGCCGGGCTGCAGCGTGACGGCGCTTAATTATGGGCCGTGCCTTGTTCGTAAAGGTCAAGTCCATGGCTTGTAATAGAATTCGTAGGCTTATGGTCAACCTCTGCATGTTATTCATGAATTTGACGATAGCCAAGGCCGTAGTTTTGTAGCTTACAGAGCCGTGATCGAAGCTGTGGCGAGAGCTCGTTTCCTCGAGGCATCGTGTATTATGTATTTTGTCATGTGCTGTGTTGAAAAATGCATTCTATCTTCCTAATCGGGCTAACTTGGTGTGGAGTACAGCGGAACGTTGGCCGACGATGCTCGAGTAATAAGCTACATATGTAGGAGCTGAGCTAATTTTGTCAACGCAGAATACGAGCGCTAAGCCACATCTCTAGTATGTGGATTAAAGTATATTTCAGCAGAATAAAATAGCCAGCACTTGGCTTCAATTTTGTTAATATATCCCGTAAAATGCGCAAAACCAAAGCCAGTACTTTCTCCAACCAAGACGCGAACCATATCCTCCACGCCATGTGTCTCTCAAACCTCTTCTCCAGGAAACAAAAACAAGACGCGAATCAAGAGACGGAACTACAGCCATCACCACCAGCTCAGGTCACGGGCCGCAGAACAGCCGCGGCCACCGCCCTGCTACGCAACAGCAAATTTGCAAGCGACGGCGGCCGGAGGAGGTACTTGTCCGAGAAGCAAACCGGCGCAGGCTATTCTCCCAGCGGGTATACAGCTTCACCAGCAATTCCTGACGGGCAGTACGACGGCATCTACGGTGCTGTTTATGGGGCAGTGTATTCTGAAGTGAGCGGAGGAGCAAATGGGGGTGTATCGGGCCGAGTATACGGTGGCGTATACGGAACATCAAGCGGAGGGGGTTTAGGCACAGCGGCGGGAGGGGCTTACGGGTCATTATTATAATGCCTGGCACATTGTTTGGCGGAAATAGCACATCGTGTTGGAAGGGGCATGACATTGATGAGGATCGCACCCCCTGGGGCTGTACAGAAGGGAGTTTTGGCGTGTCTTATTTTTTGGCTGCAACGCACCCATTATCCCTCGACCAGTTGGAAGTAGCTATTCAGTGGTTTGCACCCGTATAACCGGTATAATCTGTTTATGCTCGCACCAACTCGCGGCAGAGACGACACGGCCAACGTCTTGCCAAGAATCCAGTCAAAATCACTTATATAGGTGCAGCGTCTTGGAACTTGGACAACACAAGCTGCAGCCCAGAATCATCCTTGTACCGATCCAACGCAACAGTCTTCCACTCATTCCACTCCAAGCCCTCGTCCACGGCCACTGCTTCCCGAAGTCCTCGAAACAGGCCCAGAAACCCGTCCCAGTCAGCGACATCGTATCCGCAGCAGAATGCAAATCGATGTTGCAAACGGCCATTCCGAACAATCTGCGCCAGATCCTGCCGCCCCTTTGCCTCGAGCAGTTGCGCAAAGATTGTCTCGTCATCGCCCAGGCTGTTCTTGCCATTGTAGAAATCCGCCACCGGTAAGAAGCCAATGGGGGAGTTGAATGCGTCTGAGGCCGTGGCGGTATGTGCCCACTCCCAGTCAATAATCCCCGTGACGTTAAACTTCTCGTCTACCAAGATGTGATCTCCCTTATCGTCTGCGTGCTTTAGATAGAATGTGTTGCTCTGTGTGGAGGGCAATACCCGCGGGACTAGGTCCAGCAGAAATCTATGGATGAGATACGCGTCCACTGCCCGCTGCGAGTAGATTTCATCCTTCGTAATAAGATCTAGTATAAGCCGTATGGAGGCTACGTGATACTCTCTTGGACAAGAGAAGGGTCCCGTGGTGCACATTGTAGATTGCGTAAAGTTTGTGAGCGACTCTCGAGCATATGCGCCGATGCGAGACGTACTGGGGCTGTCGAGAGAGCCAAGAAGAGGGAATGGGTGTTTGTGAAGCTCGATGAATATATCCGCCTTCTGGCTCATGACGTTGTTCCTCTGCTCCGGAGTTGCGATGGACCATCGTAGAGACTTGCCAGGCAATTTCTGCATGAGAATATAGCCAACGCCTACGGTGTTACCAGGTGCTCCCTCAAGTGCATAATCGTATACTTCTGGGGCGGGAACATTGGTGTGCTTTAGAAACATGAGGGTTGCGACCTCGCTCTGGATGATGTAGTCTCGTAGTGCCGCAGGAGGTGATGAGGCGTTGAATCTGCGGATACGGGCAATCCACACGACTCCGTCTTCGAAGCGGACTTCAACATGGTAGTTCATACCGCCCATGACGGTGCTTCGCGTCTCTCGGTCATACTTGAGCAAAGGGGTGGAACAAGGTACGCCCTGGCGTAGATGGCTGGCACGGGCCGCAAGGGCACGCGTGTTGACCTTTTTGATCAGGTCAGTGAGCTCACGCTCTTCCGAATCCCGAGATGCGGGGTCATATGCATCCGCATCCTGTTAGGAGTGTTGGTAAGCGCTGGCTTTTTGAGAAGGAATCGGACTAACCTCCCAACGAGGGCAGTCGTGAATGCCAGGCCGCAAATGGCTCGAACAGAGATGCCGATTACAGAGCACGCAGTCGCCGCTAGTGCGAACAGCAGGTCGGCGGCAATGATTGAAGTCACATTTCCATAAAGGCATTATTGGAATGTCTTGGCGAGGAGGTTAGTTGGGGTTGAGAAAGTTCTGACATGAAAATTGAAGACGCGGTGGATGGGCCGCTTAAACGACCCAGCTCCAGGGTTAGGGTTAGCGTTTATCCCCCCCAGCCGCGACCCCGCCCTGTTTGACTTGGATCCGAGTAGCACCAAGTTCTTTTGCTTCTATCCTTGAACTGGCGAGGGGTGTTTTGCCGATTTGGGCTCTCATAAACCTCAGGCGGTTTGCCTGTTGTGGCAAGGCGTGGTTATCACCTCGGGTACCAGTGCATAGCACGAATGCCCACCGGACTTCTGGTTCTTATGGCTGTCATGGGTTGACGACATTTGCTGACACGATATACACAGACAAATTTACGGCAGAAGATCAATTTTGTGCTCAAGCTTCAGATGCAATAGCAGAATCCGTAAACAACAGTTTCTCCTGCCAACCCCCCTCACTCATAATAGGCCCACTGAGCATCTTTGCGATGCTCAGAAAATGTTGATCATCATACCGCCGGGCTACGAGAGACATTCCGCAGGGCTGCGTAGTAGTCAAAGGCTTGTTGTACCTCGTAGCAGGAGAGTTTACGTGCTGTCTCTCGACCCGATACGGCATTTTAGTGCATTCGCATACTCCTCAACAGTGGGCAGATCCCTCTTGATCAAGCAGAGTCTCAACAGCAGTCAGCGACCACCATTTTGCCAGCACAGGCATCACTGCTAGCTGGAGATGGTTTCTAATGAAAAATATCTCACAATGCCGCGGCTCGATCGGGGAATCTACCGCCGTTGATCTTATCTGCTTCCCAGGCCGGCATCTTCATGGCGGTCCGTGAACGGGTTGCCGGCTCTACTCCACCATTTTTCAACTGAGAAATACATGTTTAAATCCGAGTATAGAAGGCTTATATGGAGGACTTCACGGAAGAAGAGAAGTAGACCATGTGTGAAATAATTCAACATGTCGGAGGCATCGTCACTCTGTTGTCGCCTCTTTCCTCAGTCTCCCTCGCAGATTTGCTTGAAAAACAAGTGATAGAGGACTCGGATTGAGAAATGAGATGAAGATGTAGAGACTCCAGCCGTGCTTCAACTATGCAGACTGAACTATTGACGAGTTGGAGAAGAGCTAGCCTGGTGTATCAGCGGCATGTCCAGCACCACCAGGACCATAAGTCGTGACCGTGATACCACGACGATTCTGGTGCTAGCCCTGATGCTGGCACTGACTGCATGATGTCATGGGATGGCGAATACCCCGTTAATTGCCCGTATACAGACATATACATGCTATATGGATCGTACTAGTTGGGCACATCAACCGTTGTCGTTCGCGTTCCGCGCAGATCCTTGGGACTGACATCCATTTTGCTATGCCCACTTTGTCTACTTCAAAGCAGTAGGCATGGAAATTGTTGGTCTTGGGTAAGATTCTCAGAGACGCACGTTTATGCCAGATCGCATTTGCCAATACCACTAGATGCGTGACTATGATTCTCTTGACCGGTGGAACACGTATGGTACCCTTTTTGGCCATGGTAACCTCCATTGTTTCTATCTCCACTATCCTGTTAGCGATAATGCATTTCCAGTCTGGTGGTATGGACGGATAGGGACTCGCTGTAAAAACCCCCCCCGTGAAATCATGCCGTCATTGCTGAGCTAAGCTACCTTGAACAGGTCCATCGCTGCTACTACCGCCTGAGATGCAAAGGAGCCTCAAGAAGTATCAATTTACGCAGCCATAAGTACCAGTTTGGACAGGATTTGAGCCGGCTGCCAATTCACTAAGAACGACGTAGCATCTGACATTGGAACGACGGCAAACACGGGGCACTTATAAACAAGTTCATTACCCGTACTCCAACGAACTCATCCCAACCATCTTTTCGTATCCCACCAAGCTACACACGAGCATCATAGGGACGCCGCTGAAGCATCTATGTATCCGTACTTCCAAGGCGAGCAGCACATACGCTCTTCTCCTGCCACATGCCACAACCAGGAATTCCCATCGTGCCACTACTTTGTCCACATGGATACTAGACTCTGTTGGTATTACCACGGCGAGAAAATGGAGCCCGTTGATACAGCAAGCTCGGCTTCGGAAGGGCTGCGATGTCCATGCGCGAACGCGGTATCACGAAAAGGGCCGAGGCCGATAGCTGCGGTGGATTACCTTTGTCCCTGCGTTAGAAACAGGAGCACACTCCAAGTGGACCATATATTGATAAAAGACCTTGATGGTGGCTGGCTGCCCTTTCTGTGCTAGAATGAGTTGCAATGCGGGCGTCAGACTTGCATAGATGCGCTGTGGCTAATCGCATAAGTTACCACAGTCACAACTTCTATCACTTGGAAAATTGGCGTCAAATTTTACAAGTCATAAATATTTAATTAAACCAGGCCATCGACAGACTCGAGATCGGCGGAATGTACTCCGTATTTGAAGCGTCAATGTGTCTGAGGTACGTGGCAACGTTGGTACGGAGTTTCAAGCAGCGCGCGTTTTGGTAAGCTTACAACATGCAAGTAGCTCGGTCGGGACCGAAAGCCCCGCGTAGCTGGCCGAGCTGAAGAAGTACATTGTGCCACATGACATGTCTATCGGTCATTTCGTATGGCTGTCTCGGGGAGCAGCTTCAAGCATACTCCGTATGGTTGCTGGAGAACAACCAAGATAGGGCAACGATGTATTACTGTACTGATTGTATCATGCATCAGTACGGAGTACTATATACGATGGGCATATGATGCGCCCCTGTTGTCACCGTGCAGCAATGTGTTGACTCCCGAGCCTACATGCATGTCTTGTGAGGTGGTCAGAACTTGCATCGCTATTATCCTTCTCTAGAACCACAGTTACACGGGTCCTATGACCACGAGCCGTAGGGCAGAAGGATCTCACTGACCTTTACTGAAACCTTTATAGGTAATAGGTGCCAGACGATTATGAGGCTTGTGATTTGACGTCTAGAGTCTGGCATCAGTGGCCAATTGTGTAGTTTGTGGACTCTCTACTCCGTACCTTGAGATAATTCTACTGCCCTTATACTAGGGTTTTGTGATATCGAAAACATGTGTTCTCAATTAAGTATCCCAACATTCGCTGTTTCCATCATCCTAATACCTTTTCTCTTCCTATACTGCTTGCTCATTTTTAAAGCAAGCATGATATATTGGACTGGGCACGCGGATCTCGAGTCGTTCAATGTCCCAGTTGTTCAGAATAAGAAGATTTGATTTGATAACCTTTGGCGGCCCGAACATCCGCGCAAATCTGAGGTTGCATTACAGTTCATTACCGTCAGCCATAGTGCCGGGCTCAATGCCGCGCAAGTGTGATCAAATGTCTCACCGTAGTCAGCTGGACCATAGCTAGCCAATGCCTTATATCCCGAAAAAATTTCACTGTCTCGGGATACGGGTAGAAGATGGCTCCTGGTAGTCTGACGTCGGTTACATCTTGAGAAGATAATATGCTATCCATCAAAAACCACACGGTCGCCTAGGTTGGTCAGCCTATCACATATAAACGTTTTGTCTCTGATCCAGGGACTGTAAAACAGTAACAGTAACGGTCTTAGTAATATCACCCCTTCCGGTGTAGTAATTATGCAAGCCATGATATTATCCGCCGCGTACGGAGTATACAAAATACTTTGGTCACAGTCACTTGAGACAAGTCGCTGTCCTGAGTTGGGTTTTGACTACCCGAAGATGCGTGTGCGTCCAGAAAACAATTCAACCAATAGTCAAAATCCACAATGAAGCCGTTGGGGACTATTGGGATTGTCCGCTCGTAAAGAGATATAAGTCGGCGACACCTCTCTTGTTTTCCAAGATGTTCTACACCACACACTCACACTCTCAATCATACTCTCAATCGCACTCACAACCTACTCCATACCTTGCACGGCACTCCATATCAAATCAAAATGAAGCCCTCTCTTGTTGCTAGCACCGTCTTCATCGCCACTGGGCTGGCCGAGTTCGTTCCCGTCAACTTTACGAAGCCATTGAATTGGCTGGCCAGCCAGGAGTTGATGCAAAGAAAGACATGCGAAGACCTGAGGGCTCCTTACAAAAATTTCACGGCTGAAACTTGGGCAGCTCATGTTTTGAGTGTCTGCAAATCGACAAACTGTGGATGCACATCTGCCCTTGGCTTTTCCAGTAGGTCCTCCATCTAGCGACGAATCCAGGAATATCATGAGCTGACACTCGTACAGTCCCCCTGCAATTCAGAAGATCGGGGGATCGCGAATGGTATGGGCAAATGTTTAGGGGCAACAGTACCACTGAAGCAGACTACGTTAGGGAGGAAGTGATTCAGGACTCGATTGCGTATACCTTGCGCCAGGACAAATAAGTACCACGCCTTTACAGCGATGGTTCTATCACTTGGGCTAGCTGAGGGACAGGATTATTGTTGGTAAAATTTGGGAGTAGCCTTCCGCAAAGACTCCAGTAGTCGTTTCAGACACTCGCGTTTCAGATGGCTTCACCACATGTGAAGACCAAGCCACTCATTTATATGGAAAGTCAAAAGAAGGAAGAAAGTCTGTTTCTGAACAGAGGTCAATTGTTATCGAAATCAACGACCCGCTCTTTTAGATAGAAAATCAAGTGTCTCTCATTAGGTCCAAGCTCTCCAACCGATCATGCTCTGTGACAGTTTCATTCATTCAAGTACAACGACGATAAATCGGCAGTCTTTTAGTCTGGCAGACGCATCGACAGTTAAAAAAAGGAGGTATGCGTGTTTATTAGTTGCCCATCTTCGAGCGGGGAGATCCCACCTGGGCGCAACTACACCAGACGTTACTATTGCGATATGCAATTCTGAAATTTAGCGCCGCTTTAGATGCATCTCATCTAACCATCTAACATTAGAGGGGCCTGCATGCAGACACAACCTTCCATCACATTAACACAATAAACACTACTACACGCGATTAGCCACTCGGAACACAACAGATGGTTTTGGATGACACACTTATTTGGAATCCTTTCTCCTCAAGACAACTCCTCGGAATCAACCTTGGCGACATTATTCCACCATTGCCCATGGCTCTTCCTCTTCATATCCCAAAATGTATTCAGAGCCCTGCTCATTGCTTCCACCCACCACCGCTAGACAGGCCAGTGAGAATTCACATCGAAGGCCCATTGGTATCTATCCAGAAACTGCTTCCGGAGGTATCGTGGCATGTTGACGTCCATGAAAAGAAGTTTCAGCAAGCTGGCGCAAAACTCGCAGAGTTAACTTACCGAACGATATATGGACATGATGTCCGCCTTCATGTCGAGAATGACTTGATTATGCGAGACGAGTACCTGGGTTGGGTGGATCAGAAAAAGTAAGAGTATCCTTCGTCATTACCAATGCAATAAGTCGTTAAAGATACTCCGGGCACCTACTAGTGAAATTGACTATTACGGCGTTACATTTGACCACCTTGTTTCTGCCGATGATTACTTTCCGGAGTTTTACAAATTAATATTTGTGAGGTAGACGAGGATGGGGGGGAATACGCCAACACATATTTACCCTTCACGGTTGATCCGGCAGAATATATGGGGAAGAAGATACTAGCTGTACCGAGGTGCTGCCAAAGGCGGAAGGGAACAATAGATCGATCGAGAGTGAACGGTTCAGTGACACAAAAGGATATTATTCGGCAAGGAATTGATCCGGCAGTGATAAGGAGGCTGTTGATAGCTTACGGCGTATATTCTACAAAAATACCCGACAAGAAATTTGACAAAGTTCCTCAACCACGGACTTGCATAGCTCCCGAGGAGCAATGATGGCACCAGGGCGCATGCTGTACGTGGATAACAGCAGAGGTAGATAGTTGTTGTGCAATATCAATCGTTAACTGGAATGGCCACTTGGCTCATGGTTTGGTGGTCTTCCGTTCACACGGACTCAAAGAGGGTATTCCTAGTCTGCATTGCAACTTTCAGATGAACTTATACTGGCAGAATCAGTAGTATTAAGTATCATGTGAAGCTAAGAGAACAGAACATACAATCGGCATGGCTGGTCTAATTCGCCGATCATATCGACGCTACTAACTTATACCTCTCCTGTCCCTATATAGTATAACTAAACTTGTTGATTACTAGATCCTTTGCCTCCTTTATGGCCTGCTCCCTACGTAATTGGCCGTATCGGTCCGCATGCTAAAAAGCTGGGTGTCGCACGGAAAAGGCCGGTTACACGAGGGCTACGGTCACGGGATTAGGGCAGAAGGTCCTCGCCGACTTCTTGTATAAATAGACGTCTTCGGTCCCTCAAGGCCTTAAGGAAAACCAAGGACCTTTGATACCAAAGACTGTTATTAGATGAATTGAGTCATTGCTCCAAGCCTAAGCCCTTGTCACACTGGGCGCCTAAGGTACTTTAGCTGTAATGGATCCGCTTGATGTTTGACGCGCATCCCCTAAACCCAGTTACATTGCCGGATAACAGCTTCAAAGTTTATACGATGGTTCCAGTCACCTCCCTGGTCTTGGCCACAACCCATTGCCACCAGCAACACGCGCTTATATTTGTTCATAACAAGGTCCCAGTAGCCCTCCTAGCCCGCTATATGGGTTTTGAATACCTGTCTATGTTTGGAGGCTCTTCCATCCCATACAATAACATTGAACCGTAGCGCCAGACACTATGATATTAAACCTATCAAGGCAGACTCAGGAGTAATAGCCGATTATAAATAAATGGAAGTTAGTAGAATAACTCAATAAACCACTTCCTTATTATGTCTGCTTCCGCTCGTTTATCTTAAATTATGACCTCGGTGAATCCCCTGTTCCTGTTACGTTCTATTTCAGGGTCATCAATTTAGCCTACTACCCACTGCAGTCAAGTGCTTTGTGGTGAGTTTGTGAGATGACGCCAAAATGGAAGGCCCGGTGTAGACCGAATGCAATCAATTGCACTGTGTGGCGGAAAGCCTCGCTCGCAACTTAGTTGCCAGGCTGAACATGTCTGGTTACTTCGTCTCCACCGTTAACCACCTGAACCATAGACGCCAAAGAATCTAATGCCAGATATTCGGGATGAGACTCGTGTATCGTAGCCAGAAGGTAATGTACTTAAGATTGATGTATGCAGTTTGCAGCTGGACTATAAAGTCCAATGCGCCCATCGAGAGCATCACTCTGCATAGTGCACGGCGAGCTTCAGCCCCAAGTCATTTCATTCAGTCACAGGAAATTAAACATTGCATAATGGTAGCCTTTCAACGATATTGTATTGCCGCAATTACTGTTGCTGTCAGGGCGAACCTGATTGCAACTCCCCAAACTCTTGTCCAAAGGCAACGCGCACTACCTGCAGAAGGCAGCTTTCCAGTTACGACAGCTACTACGTATCCCAAGCTTCTTAAACGTCGAGATCTTACCACTTGTGGGTACATTGACAGGCACATTGACGAGAAATCCGGTACGTGATAGTGTAATTCCAACCTATCTCTTGGATGATATCTGGCTCCTCATAGAATGTGACTTAACTTGCCTTAGCGATCGCGTGCTACAGCCCTTATTCATGTGGGTATAACTCGACAGCCTCGATATATGGTTGTTGCGAGAATGCAGGTTCATGTAGACTTGAAACTGCATGCGTACCATCTGAGTCGCCCTCGCCGAAAGACACCCATCTTACGCAGTACTGGTAAGGCATCTCTCATGCTACCAGAGAAGAGGCTCATCTAACCTAGCCTGGTATAACATACAAGAAAAACTCTGATACAAGATGATAGTTCTTTATCAACTGCTGCATCGTGCCTAACGCTTGTCTTCAACGATGGCCCGTGTTTTGGATGTACATGGTTTCAGTGTTCCGCAGAGGGAGGCAAAAGGGCAGTCTACACCAGCCCTGACACATCTGATTCTCCGATAACAACGATACTGCCAACGACGACAACGACGACATCTTCAACGACACCTCCGACGACACCTCCGACGCCGTATCCGACACCAAACCCAACGTCACAAACTCCGACCGGCGCAATTGTTGGAGGAGTCGTGGGAGGAGTTGGTAAGCTATATACCGGAAGTCTTGCCAACCTATAATGATGTATAGAACCTAACTTGAATTTCTATTTCAGCCGGCTTGGCTTTAATCTGTCTGTTAGCATTCTTCCTTTTCCGGAAGAAGAAGAGTCCAAGTTCTAAAGAAGCGTCACCCTTACAATCACAAGGTACTAATAACATATCCTGGAACAAGTTCATGGGCGGAGCTAAATTTGAAACAGCAATTGTCAATACAAACTCAAGTTTACCTTCACCGCCATCGCAATATCAACAGAGTTTTGCTGGAACTGGTGTCACCGGGTCACCAGCGCCAGTTTACGCCTCTGGCTACTTGGATCAACAAGTTATGCCCCAGCAGCAATTTCAAGGCCAGGAACACTGGCACCCGTCCCCGTCACAAGAGATGCCAATCACAAAACCAGAGGGAAATCTCCAAGAGATGGCGGGAAACACTTGACACTTGACCCTCACAAGGAGAAAGTGTTGCGAGCCGGGTCGCTGGGTTAGTCGTGGAACATTACATAGTTGGAGCCGGCAAGATGGACGTTGAAATCCGTACATACGCCGAGGGGCACATTTGTGTAAATTGATATCTAGTCTCAAAGATGTTCCTTCCCCTTCCTATTAGATTTATCTTTTATGGATCGCTTTCATGACATAGTAGTTGGTCTTGGTTTAACGGGATTATAGCAGAAAGGTTTCGCAATTCCTAATATTACAGGGATTCAAATTTGAAAAGCATAATCGTCACGAGTCTAGAAGCTGTGCATCTACTCTTCCAAGTGTTGGCTTCGGCGATGGAGGCCAATCAACAGATGGACTAGTCTTGTTCAATTTATGCGTCTAGCAGCCACCAAAAAGAGCTGTCCCCCCTCTCGCAAAGAGGGTTGCTAGGAGGGCCTTACCATGTCACCTAGAAGAGCTATGTTGAGCTCTAGTGTGTTCTGGCTTGACTCTGGCATGTACTGTTTGTTCAGCTTCCGAATCTTGGCTTATCGAGTGGCAGCTGATCCCGGAGAGTGGCGTAGCTAATAACATTTCTGAACGAATAGCAATTAAGATACCGTTTGATCTCTTTCAAAATGAGGGGTAGTCCTAGCTTTATGTAAATACGGCTTAAACTCTAAATGATATTAACTTTTCCTCATTATTTTTTTTAAGGGTTAAGGTTAAGATATTTATAGCCCTACTAAAATTTCCTAAAATATTAACGGTTCCGATTAGTAATACTTTTTTATATTCAGTTCCCGATTCGTGTGCTAAAGACATATTTATGGCAACTCGGATAATGACAACTCGCTATCGGAACGCTATCGCCATCTT